TATTGCCATAGAAAAAGTCCAATTTCCTTCTCATGACAATCCAGACCCTCCTCCATCTGTAAACTTCTGACCTTTCCAGTCGGACTCTTCCATATGGACTCTGTGTCTAGGCAGTCTGACTTCCCCCAAACATGGCCAGAGCTTTCCAAAGACTCATTTCAGTCCTTTGCTACAACACTGTTCACACACACTCCTCCAACCTTTTCCCATTAAAATCGTGTGTTTCTGAAACCACTCTTTCTGGGCACACAACTTGAATTAGTTTTTCATTGCTGCTGCAAAATACCTGAGATAAACAACTTAAGGGAGAAAGGATTTACTTTGACTCATGGTTTCAGAAGTTTCAGTCCACTGTTAGCTGGCTCCATTGCTCTCAGGCCTATGGCAACACAGAAACAGTATGGCAGACAGGCACAGCAAAAGAAAATTGCTCATTTAACGGCAGCAGGAAGCAGTTGAGGGGGCCTCAAGACAGGGTATACCCTTCAAGGGCACACCCCCAGTAACTTACTTCCTCTAACTAGGCCCTACCTCCTACTTTCTACCATCTCCCAATAATGCCATCAATCTATTATGGATTAATCCATTAATGAGGTCAGAGCTCTCACAATCCAATCACCTCTTAATGATTGGATCCACCAGCCTGAGGATCAAACATTCAACACAAAAGCCCTTTTGGGGGACATTCATATCTAAATTGTAATAGAGCTAAACTACATTCTCCAGCCTTCTCCAGCAGAGTGAAAACGTGTGTGTCACCTCTAGACCAAGGTAATTGTATCTTCTCAACACATTTGCTCTTTTCTCCTCTTCCCCATGGGTAATGTCACAGAATTTGGAAGCTACAAACTGAAGACGAAAGACAAGCCACAGTTGGGTGGAACCTGGGTCCCTGAATGACCGCATGGAGTAGACTGCATGTCTGTGACATATTGAAAGAGAAATCATTACTGGGTGAAATCACTGAGAGTTTGCATGGTTTACAACAGTAGTTAGCTTTCTGTAATCATAAGCATGCTTCAGGACTTTGCTCTGATTTTACGTCTCTATACATCATCCCTGTAGAAAAGACCCCTCTGTAGTACTGTTTATGATACTTATCATTTAATTTCATTTAACCTCATTAGATACAAGGTTATGTATTCTGTGTCCCTTTCTGGATTATAAATTCTTGAGGATAGATGTGGAGGGTTCCTTGCCCCACTTCAATGGCACACTATAGTCTCCGATAGGCAGATGGTGAGTGTTCTCATTGTTGTCCAGTGCACATCCTGTTCCTCAATGGGGTTTCTATGTAGTGAACTTAGGTGGCAAACAAGAAGGATACCTAAATCCCATGACACTCTCTCTACAGACAAGGGGATCTCTTGCAAAGACTCCCCAAGACCGGGGATGCTGTGTGTATTTGGGAATGCCAACCTTGCCTGACTCTAGAGAGCTCTGTTTCTAAAAGGAAGACAAATGTCAAAGCATTTCAACCACTTCCCAAATCTGCAACCAAACCAGGTGAAAGTGGTTACCCCACACAAGGGTAAGTGGCTTATATGACTCTAACAACTTGCTCCTGAGAAGGGAGAAGGGATGGGGAGAGAAGATGATACTCACTATTTTCTCTGCTATATATCAATCTTAAGAGGCATTTGGGGATTCTTTAAATATCTGGTTACCTCTCTCATTGTATGACTTCCCTGGGTATAACAGTGACTGTTTGATCCTGAAGCTCTGTGTTTCCTTCCTTATCTGTATAATGAGGAAAATGAGGGATTTTCCTCATGGGAAAGCATGTAGCTTTTCCAATGGGAAGCAGTAGCCTGCCAAGAGGAAACACAGTGGCAGAAAACTGTCCTAGGGGTAGGAAATAAAGGGTGCATTGTCTATAGACAATTGAAAGACAATAGTAAAATGAATTAAAATTTTGTCCACATTTTATTTCCACTGTACACTGGTGATTCTAATTATGTCAGTTACGATAATGCTGTTAAATGTTTAACAACTGGCTCTCTGGGGAAAGTAAAGAAGTATGCATATGTGAATTATAAATGTTATTGGTATGAATAATGTGCATCCCACAGTTTACAAATAATAATATACCTCATCTTAAATTCCACAGTTGACTGATTCTCATTTTTTATGAGAATCAAGTTTTTGACTTTTGTTGATTTTTGCCAAAGACTTCTGAGTCCGTTCAGTGCTTGCAATTTACCATGATTTAATGAAAGGACTTGCATTCCAATCCACTTTTTTTCCAACAAAGTTGTGGTCATTAAATCTGATATGTGACCCACTACAAGTTAAACTCATTAAACTGATCTTTTAGTTTCAGTACATTTTCCCACCACTTTCTTAAGCTTAGAGATAATCAGCAAAATAATGTAACTTTTGCTAAAAGTCTATGGTGTGAATATTCCCCCCGTGGCCTATTGCCTTTTGCCAATATGACATCACTGGGTACGAGCTGGAAAGACACATGCACTGTAGCATACAGGTTGAGTGTCCCTTATCTGAAATGTTCAGGACTGAAAGTATTTCAGATTTCAAAGCTCTTTGGATTTGGTGATATTCCATAGACTTTGCTGGTTGGGCATTCCTAATCCAAAAATCTGAAATCTGAAATCCACCAAAACCCAACACTGATTACTCAAGAATTTTTGGATTTTGGAATATTTTGAATTTCAGGTTTTTAGATTAGGGTCAACTTGTATAGGTAACAGTGGAAACTGAAGGAAGTGGACAAACTTGAAAGATATTTAGGGAGGAGAGTCTTTTTTTTTATTCATATGTGCATACAATGCTTGGGTCATTTCTCCTCCCTGCCCCCAACCCCTCCCTTACACCCACTCCACCCCCTCCCTCTTCCTCTCACCCCGTCAATACCCAGGAGAAACTATTTTGCCCTTATCTCTAATTTTGTTGAAGAGAGAGTATAAGCAATAATAGGAAGGAACAAGGGTTTTTGCTAGTTGAGATAAGGATAGCTATACAGGGAGTTGACTCACATTAATTTCCTGTGCATGTGTGTTACCTTCTAGGTTAATTCTTTTTGATCTAACCTTTCCTCTAGTTCCTGGTTCCCTTCTCCTATTGGTCTCAGTTGCTTTTAAGGTATCTGCTTTAGTTTCTCTGCGTTGAGGGCAACAAATGCTAGCTAATTTTTTAGGTGTCTTACCTGTCCTCATATCTCTCTTTTGTGCTCTCGCTTTTATCTTGTGATCAAAGTTCAATCCCCTTGTTGTGTTTGCCCTTGATCTAATGTCCGCATATGAGGGAGAACATACGATTTTTGGTCTTTTGGACCAGGCTAACCTCACTCAGAATGTTTTCCAATTCCATCCATTTACCAGCAAATGATAACATTTCATTCTTCTTCATGGCTGCATAAAATTCCATTGTGTATAGATACCACATTTTCTTGATCCATTCGTCAGTAGTGAATAGTGCCACAATAAACATGGGTGTGCAGGTGCCTCTGGAGTAACCTGTGTCACAGTCTTTTGGGTATATCCCCAAGAGTGGTATTGCTGGATCAAATGGTAGATCAATGTTTAGGGAGGAGAGTCTTGAAGATTTGTTAGATGCCAGGGTTGAAGAAAGAGTTTGGGAAACACTGGAGAGATGGGGGGGCCCTGAATATCAAGGGAGACCAGCAGCAGGGGAGAGCAGGGGAAGCAGGTGTTAACTTTGGATGTATTCCATTTCCATGTGCTTGTGACACACCCCAGTGGAGAAGCTGAACAGGAAACTAGATAAATGGGTTTGAGTTCAGAGAAAGCAAGGACCAGGGTTGTAAGTTCGGGAGATAGTGATTGAAACACTGACAGGAAATGAAATCACGCAGGGAGAAGTTGTGCAGTAAGAGGAAAGGACTAAGACCTTTAAAACTTAGAGGTTACTCAGGGGGTCAGCAGAACCAAGGAGATGGGGAGAACAGAAGTGGAGTGCCAGTCTGGCACAGGAAGGATCTATTTTAAAGAGGAAGAAGAAATGCTGAGGCGAGTATAAGGTAACATAAGGAAGCAAAGTGTCCTTTGGCTTTGGTGATGCAGGTGTTACTGGTGACGATAGCAAAGACAGTTTCACTGAATGGAAACCGAGAAGTGAGAGTTGGAGACCACAAAAGGGTGGCAGGCAGGCTTTCCCAAGGACTTCAGCGAAGAGCAGGGAGAGGCAGGGTGGCAGCTGTAAGAGCACGGGGAAGACAGGAAGGCTTGGAAATGGTTAAATGCTGAGGGTGCTGAGTCTGGGTGTGGGGGGGAGAGGAGGTTTCCCACTGGAGGTTTGTAGGACAGGCAGTTTAAGATCGCAGCAAAGGTATCTTATGAAAGTGGGGCGTGCGGGTTAAATGTCACCGGATTAGGAGGGGAAGTATAGCACCACGTGGGCAGTGACCATGCGTGCTCCGTTGCTCTGGCCAGGTGAGAGCCGCAGCAGAGCTCCCGGGGCTCCCGGGCCGTGGGAGGAAGAACGCACTTTCAGTTTTGTTCCAAGAGGCAGAAAGTGGAGCTACATTCATTTTCAGTAATTCCTCCCTGACAGAAAGAAGTCTGGAGTCCAGGTTGTTCTGCGGGGACACTGCAGTCCCGCCGCCGACTGCACGAGACAGACCAGAAATAGGCTCAAAAACCCGCGGACTCTAGGAGGGAGGAGGCGCAGGGAGGACCCTTCCGGCTCCCGCAGCCCGCCTTGTTCGCCACACTCGGGCCGCCTCTTCCCGCCCCGGCCCCGCCCCAGTCCTATGCCCCGCGCTCTGCTTCCTCCTTTCCAGCGGAGTGGGTCGGTCCCCACGCCTCCTTCGCCGCCGACTAGCGCTCTGTCTGACGTCACCCGCTTATCCACCAATGAACTGAAGAGAGACCAGGTTGCGACGTGTAAGTGACGGGAGAAGCAGCCAATAGTAACGAGGAGGGGGCGGGGCCAAGGCTTGTGTGTGAGGGGGAGCCCCCGCGGGTGGGGAGCTGCTGGCTGCGCGGCGCGGCGCGGGTTGCGGGGGGCGCGGTGGGGGGCGGTGCGCGGGCGGCCCCTCCCCTGCCGGCTGCGGGCGGGCGCCGGGAGCGGCTGGAGTTTCCGCGCGCGGGAGGGAGATGTGGCCGCGGCTTGGGCTCCTTGCAGGTAACGCTCCGGGCGGCCCCTGCAGGGCCGAGCGCGCCGCTGTGCGAGCGGAGTTGGGCGCGGAGCGGGCGTGGGCTCTCCACTGCAGCTGAGTCAAGAGCCCCACCGGGTGGCCCTGGCCGGGGGGCGGCGCCCCACCGAGCGGCGGCGCTGCTGGAGGACTTGGTTCCAGGACCCGGGCTGTGGCTGGGGACACCGGCGCAGGGCGTCGTGCGCCCGGGTGTAAGCAGCACCTGGGACAAAGGGAGCGGTGTGGAGGGTGCGCGCCCCGCCTGCCCGCGCCCGGGGCTCAGGCTTCTGCGTTCCCCTGCCGAGGCCGTGGTCGCAACGCCAGTCCAAGCCTCGCCAACCGCGCCAGAGTGCTCCCTAGCCCGGAGCGCACTAGGCGGAGCGGCCACTTGACCGCGGGGCCCCGCGCCTGGCCGCCAGCTGGCCGCCGCGCAAACTGTGGCTAGGCACAGCCGGTCAGCTTGGCTGCATGCCCTGGGTTACGAGACGGTTCCCCCGCACTGCTGGGAGTACGGCGCTGCTCTGCGCTGGGTTGCGGAACTGAGCAGCGTGAGAGTGGGTGTCAACTGGCCAGGGCGCCTGGAGCTGCCCAGCTGCCACTTCCCGGCATGGGCTAGGAGTTGGGGAAACCGAGCAGGTGGTGCAGCGACAGCCTCACCTCCTGAGAACTCCACGGGGTGTCTGGTGGCGTTGATGTTGTGACTGTGGGCCGTGTGTGTTTCTTGCTTTTTTTAACCACACACAAAAGAAGGGAGGAGTTGAGGAACGATCTAGCCACTGAGTCATCCACACTTTGCTCTTTCCCCGGAGCAGATGGACTGGATCCCCTCCTTGTCCCTAATCCTTGCATTCTGACCACACTGGTGTATCCCAGATGGAGGTGGGGCAAAGTGATGCTGGCCGACTTAGCCCGGGGAGGGGGGAAGGGGGTGGGGAATGGCTCCAGGCTAGTAAGCTGTAAACTTTGTGGGACTGAAACTGTGAATGTTGAACCAGAGGCATCCCTGGGCATCACTGAATTAAGAAAGAGGGAGGCAATGGCAACAGGACACACTTCTTGCAGCATTTGGTTAAAACCAAATGGTGTGGGGAGGGCAGTAGGGATGGCTAGCTCCCTTGCTTTCAGATACCTCAAGTGGGACCGATCAGCTCTGTCTCCACGTGACTGCCAGACCTCAGGATGCTGGTCAGAAACCATACTGTTTTTGAATCTGATTTCCAGAGGCACTGTCACGTCTCAGCCTGACAGAGGGCAGCTGGCTGCATGGATGGATTGTTTCCAATGAGGGAGAAAGGCTAGGCGGAGGCCAGCAGACCCTCTCAGGCCTGTGGAAGAAGATTCTTCAGTGGGTGACTGGTGCTCATTGGCCAGAGTGAATCATTTAGGTTGGGTCTCACCCTTCTGTTTACTGCAATCCAGGCTGCTGTGCCCACTCTCACTGGGTCTCCATGGTTCCTAGTTCAGTACCATTTGGCTTTTGGGGAATCCTTGTTTGAGGACTTTTTGACCTTTTCATTGATGATTCATTCGTTTTAGCCCCCTGAAAATAGAGGCTTGATATTAGAAGTTTGAGAAATTGGGGATTAAGAGACCTCACATTTGATCCAGACCCAACTACTGTTGAGGAGCCAGTTCAGTCTGACACTGGAGTCAAGTAGCCATCAGAGCACCGGCTTTGTTACTGCTACAACTAGATGGAACACTACCAGAACTGAGGCCACAGAGAAGGTTCTGTCCTGTCCCTCCACAAGGTGAATTTACATCCAACTGTGGCCAAGGAATCAGGCCTCCCAGGCAGGGCTTCACCTGAAGAAAAGTAATAGGTTACACATCTCAGGGTCCAAGCAAAACACAGAAAGTATCTCTTCCGATTTCACGATGTGAGTATAAAAGTCCCCATCTCTGCCACTTCATGTGGGCACAGCTATTTTGACTTGAGTGCCAAGCATCCTTGTGGAACAAAGGTCATTGTTCCATTGGAGGAGGGGAAGTTGTGATCAGAGTCACTGTGTGATTATGCAGTTTGTGCAGGACACAAAAATGCTTTGCCAGGGGCACCATGTACCATAGATCTGCCTGAAAGAAGGGCACCCCTTTCTCAATTGCACCTGCTCACTGGAGGGGCTGCTGCTGGCTATAGTTGGTAAGCCCATCTGCAGAAATATACATGGATGACAACATAAGTATTTCCAAGATAAGAAGTCAAGGAATTAGCCAGGAGCTAATTTCTCCAAAATAATAGAAATAATGGAAAGTAAATACTTGCTTACGTTACCTCAGTCCTTACCACCATTTCCAAGGAAAGCAGTGGTACCCTTTTGTACTGATGAAGAAACTGATCCTTAGCAACAGTAAGAGCTCAGGGTCATGCAGCCAGCAAGTGCACATTTGTCTGTCTTCAGAGCACTTGCTCTCAACTGCTTGACTGAACTCTGAGAACCTTGCATTGGTTTCTAACACATTACAGCTCTTTTTGCATCTGCTAATGCAAGGTACTTTCTAAACTATTCTATTAGACATGTGAACAGTAAATCCCTTAAAAGGACATTTGTGATTATTTTCAGTGGCAACAAAGAAGTGGAGGCCTTGGAGATGAAGGCGGAGTCCCCTGAGAAATGCGGGGATGTTGCCATGAAGAAGCGAGAGCCAGCCAGGACTGAGAATAATGCTGAGAGGGTGGAGAGCCAAAAGGCACAAATTCTAGATTCCACTCTCCCTGCAAAAGAAGAGACCATTCTGACTGACTCGGCCATCCTGTTGACTTCAAGGATGGGAGTCCGGCCCACGAGGGCACCTCAGATGTCAGGGTCCACAGTCCATCCTACATATACTGAGGCTGTTGTTTGAATACCAAAATGATGAGTTCATGACTAGTAGCTAACTTAGGAGCAGGGTAGTTCCTGAGTTCCTGAATCAGAAGTCTTCTTTCAAGGCCATTTGAACTTCCTGATAAACTTTTGTGAAGTATTCAGATGTTTGGGACCAAACCAGATAACATCAAAAACCAGTTATGTAACCTGTAGCTCCCAAGCTACTCTCCTATGCACTTAAAATTGGTATAAACTATTTATTTTCCTCTACATTGATTCTCTGAATCAAAGAAAACCTTTGTTCCTAGCTTCAGTCTTTTGATTTTTTTTTTTAAACAGCAAGAAAAATTTCTTTAGCTGAAATGTAAACACAGTGAGTAGGGTCTTAATGATGACCTGAATTGTGCTTGTTACTGTAATTTGGATTTGAGCAATGGCTTATTCTTTCTTTGGAAAAGAAAAGACTACAGCAGAAATAGGAGGAACATTCCCCCAGCACTTGCTGAGAGCATGTCTTACATCAGGCAATGGGGCTCCAGGGAAAAACAGGAAGAGACTTGCAGTCTTTTATCTCCAGATTGTAAGCCTGGACTTTCTGCCCCTGGAAAGGGCCAGTGTTGCCTGGTGTGTCCTGCTGCCTATTGATCTGTCTCTACCTTTACTCAGACAGAAGGGTGTGGAAAAGATGCCTGTGGCCTCAGATTCCTGTTTGACTGACTTCTTGTTGATTGCATAATTTAGAATATTCACTCAGAGATCTGGAGCCAAATATATCCAAGCTACCTCCCAGGCAAGGGGGCTGGGACTTTCTTCCCCTTCCTTAGTAGGGAGGATATAAACCTTAGTACTATAAGCCGATATGAAAGATTTTTTCATAGAAAATCACTCAGTCTCTTTGGAGAAAGTATAGTAAGAGTAGCCAGCCTCCCCTGAGCATTCACGAAATCCCTCATGACAACTGTAAGGTAGGGACCCATCCTGCTTTAGAACTGAGGAGTCAGGCCCATACAGGTTAACTAACTCCAAATTTATGCAAGACTGGAACTGAGCAGTCTGACCCAGATGTGGTCTTGGTAATCTAAAGAAAGTACCTATGGAGGGTATGATGGGAATGGGGACAGATAATGAGATTGGCACAGTTTATATTTGTTTGGGTCAATTGTAGGGTGGGAAACCGTTAGACATTTCTCCCTGCTGGAGAGCTGAGAAAGTAGAAAGCATGGAGACATGCACAAGGCTAAACAATGCATCACTAGCTAACGAGACAAAAACATTGTGCTCTTTTGAAAGGAAAGTTCAAAATAATGTATTTTTATCTTGACTCTTGCCAATCTGGAAGATCATACCCTCTTACAGAATTGCCTCCCTTCTTTGGGACACAACTAAGCCCTTTCTAGGACAAGGTATTATCCCAAAGCAGTCAGTTTCTCTCATCTAAACAGCATGTGGGCCTGAGGTCTATAGACTCAGTTTATCAGTGTCAGGATCATGTTTAATACACCATTGCACACACACACACACACAAGACCCAACAATGAGTAGTTACTGATTTTTTGTTGTTGTTGGGACTTGGCTTTGTACTTGCAAAGCAAGGCATTCTACCACTTGAACCACCCCTTCAGTCTGTCTTGCCCCGGTTATTTTGGAGATGGGGTCTTGAGAACTGTTTCCCTAGGCTGGCCCTCAAGTCATGATCCTCCTGGTCTCAGCCTCTCAAGTAGCTAGGATTATAGGCATGAGCCACCAGTGCCTGGCTTGATTTTTCTTGATCAAATGAAGTTGATGGGAACCTTTTTTAAGCTTTATAAACTGACTCAGGGACTTTAATAATGATTTGTTTCATGGTGTTGGTAAATACAGGTATCTGTTAAATAAGTGTTTCTGAAGAGTAGCCTGTCAGGCATCATAAACCCCAGAACTTCTGATTCCATAATCAGATTTCTGTGGTAGGGCCAGGAATCTGCCCATGCTGGAGGTGACTTTTTTGCCCTCTTAAATTTTTAAAAACCACAACTTGCAGTTTTCATAGTCACATCCTGTAAAATTGCAGCGTGAATGACTGTCTAGTTTAAGGTAAAGATGTCTACTGCTGAATCATTCCTAACAGTGCATTGATGAATATTTATGTGACATTATTTTTCTTACAGATTTTTAACCAGCATAATGCTGGAGCAAGAAGCTGGCAACCTGCAGTTTTCAAAATGGCTGAGCTGGACGCTGACTTGGTCCACATCGTTCCATCTTCCATCCTTCCCCCTTTCTGGGCTAAGTTAGTAGTGGGATTGGTTTCCCTCATCTGTTTTGCACGGAGCTATGATGGAGATTTTGTCTTTGATGACTCTGAAGCTATTGTTAACAATAAGGTTTGTGTCTTAACTCTTCTGGGAAATTTATATCAACCACTTGCTTGAGTCTCAGGAATCATCTAAGTTGGTATAGAAGTCCTTGTTAAACTTGAGTTAAGCATCTCCTTGGGCCCTAGTCATGCTATAGATTTCCCATCTCTTTTGTTTTGTATCGTCTCTGTAATTTTGTGCCTCTGGTCTACAGAGGCCCCAGTCCACACTTGTATCAGAGAGGCTTTTCTTCCAAGATTACAAGGCAGGAGTATCGCCAGGCATTCAAATAGAGTATTTCAAGGTTTATAAAAGTTTCCAGAACTATCCAAAAAAGAAAGAAGGAGAATCATGCATTTGCTGGTGTGATGGCAAGTCTAAACACTGTGAATCTTCCAGATGTGCCACTGGAAGGTACATCCTCAACAGCAGGCAACCAGCTGGCCACAGCTTTGCCCTTCACCCAGCGTGAGGACAGCAGCAGGGGCATAAGGCTCGTGCTACCCAGGGACACTGCTGTTCTGGTCATTTCATGTTTGGAGACTCAAGTTTGCTGAACTTGGAAAATCTCAGTCAGTCTTGCTTACCATTTGTAGCTATGTCAGTCCAGGGAAAATAGTATTCTTGTTCACATGCTGTTCGGAGTCAGGGAAGAAGGAAGGGAAAAAAAAAATGTCCAAACTAGCTGAAAGAAAATGAGAGCAGGAAACTTAGAGGGAAGCAGAGAAGGCCCAGAGGAGAAAAAACTTGGGAATGGAACAAGACAGAAACTGTAACAATCTGTCACTGAGCCAAAAAGTTGTATCTCCTGCTTAACCAAAGGCTAGGACTGGAAGGAATACACCTATCTCTCTCTGTAGGAATATCACTGTGGGAACTCTGTAGTTGAATGCTTGCAAAAATTTAAAGTCATTTTCATGTTGTAAATGTTGAGGAAAACTGTGACAAGCATGTATCTTATGAAGGGAGGGTGGTGACATGACTGATTAGTAGACATTCTATTTAACACAACAGTATAATTAGTGTTCTCCATTTTGAAGGCACAAACTAGGGACTGTTAATATCTACTTTTTTTGTTTTGTTTTTATGAGACAGAGTTCTATTTTATAGCTAGGCTGGCCTAGAACTCACTATGTAGCCTTAAACTCTGAATCCTCCTGGGATTATAGGCATGTGTTAGTATGCCTAGCTGATGTTTGCTTTTAATTCAGTTCTGTGCTTTGTGATTTCCTTCAAGTTCATCCATCAGTTACTATAGATGACTCTGTTTCATTTCTTTTTAAAACCATGATTAAAAGAAGTCAGCAGCTCTAAGCTGCTTTGTCACATTGATGGCTTAGTCACAGAATTGCTTTTCCAACAAAGATTCATCTTTATTTTTTAAGTCCCATTACTCATTTTGGTGAGAGTTTCTTAACTCTTTCACTTGGGTTTATAAAGTGTTAATTGAGCACTTATGTTGGAAAATTCTAGTCAGCTGGCAGTACAAAAGCTTGGGCTCTGTGTATGTGTGTGGTGGGGGGAGGTAGTGGGGGAGAGTCCCTGGTACCCGGGTGTAGTTCTCCTTCTGTGAGAGGGGAGGTAGATGAGGTATCTTGTGGTTCTGCTGAGCGTGGTCTGGGCAAGGTTTTCTGGAATGGAGTGCCCTTGCGTTAACTTGCCAGCCCTGCTTTCTCCTTCCCTGTTTAATGGCAGGCACGCCTCCGCTCCCTGGCGCCCTGCCTACAGTGATGTGAACAGGCTGTTGCTGGGTTTGGTGGCATTGAAGACTGATTTCCAGATGTTTCCTTGCAGTGCTGAGTTGCCTCTCTTGTTCCGGGAGATGGTAGTCTTTGAGACAGCAGAATTGGGAAGAGTTTCAGACCCAATCCATTGTTTCCATAAATCAGGAGGAAAAATTGACCTTTCTTTCTGTCGTGCACATGCTGTGTGTAGGCTGCACCTAATCAAATATTTAGAACTTCATCAGTGTTCGTTTCTTGTTCAGAGGAAGGTGTACTCCTCCACCCAACCTCTTTACAACTGAGCAAGCTCTTTTGTGACAATGCAGAAGAGGTTAAGACTTCTGGTTTTGTCACTGAGTCCACTAACTTTGTAGGTGGAGTTCATGACCTTCGCAAAATATTTAACCAGCTCCTGGGATGGAAGCTTCAGTCACTTAAGGCCCCTGACACAAGTCCCAAATGGAAGCACAAGTCACCCCCACAGTGGGTGTCAAGTACCCAGCTTTGTCTCTGTCCCCTCTTCTCAAGGCTTTGGTCTTCAATCAGTAAGCACTTGAGTACCAATACTAAACTCCAGAGGAGCATGAACATTTGTTCTTTGGGGCCATCTGACATTTGACTGACTGTTCTGCTTGGGGCCTTGTGTGCTTAAAAGACGGTTCTATTAGAGAACTGATAACCTGCAGAGGATCTCCTATCAGGGACATCCACCTGCTGGAGTCAGGAGCCAGTTGTATGAAGAGGGAGGCAGGAGGCGGCCAGGCCCTCTTGGTGAGGTGTCCAGCAGCATGACTTGGGGTTGTGCTCCCTGGCTGCCGAGCCCCTTCCTGGGTTTCCAGCAATCCGGAGGGGCTATGAGCCTCTCTCTCTCCTTTCAGGTGCTCTCTGTGCTTCAAAGAATCAAGTGACTTTGCGACCGCAAGGACAAATCCTCCTCAATCTGCTCGGAAGTCCCTAAAACATTCTTGTTTAGTTTTGCTATAAAAAGGAAACTGGTAAACATATCTGCTACTTTCTCCACAATGCCTTGCTTGCCTTTGACACCATTTAGTTTCATATTTTAGATGTGTAAAAAAGATGCTTTTTTATTTTGTTTGACACAGGGTTTCACTATGTAGCCCAGACTGGCCTTGAACTCAAAATCCCCCTGTGTCCATCTCCCAAGTCCTGGGATTGTGGACAGATGGCAGTGTGATATGCTTTAAAAAAAGAAAAAAAAGATATGTTTTGAGCATCTTCAGTATAATACCAAGTTAATTACCTCAGCAGTAAGATTGGTAGTTTTTGTTTCAAATATTTAGTGATTTTTATCTTTAAAAATTATATGGAAGAATTTTTTTCCTAATTTCACAGTCAGTTTAACTCATGACCAAAAATGGAAATCTTTCTTAAAAGTATCCACACTTGCTTAAACTGGGGTCGTTTAGTAAATTATTTATTGAATATGAAAGATGATAGTGGTGTTATTTAGCTGACCGGTTCATTCATTCAGCATGTATTAAATACCTTCTGTATATTCCTAGTAAGCTCAGATGTACCCCAGGCTTGCAGAACTACAGCTCAGGTGGTCCAGATAATATTGTGACTACAAGTCACTATTGTGCCAAGAGCTGTGGGAATAGGTGTGAGAGCCAAGGACCCACAGAAGAGGATTGGGATCCACTCAGGAGCAACAGAGTTCAGTAGCTGCAGTGTGAAGAGGATTGAGGATGACCACTGGGGAGAACCTTATGTGCAGGGACTTTGTTGTGGGAACTTACAGGAGTGGGCAGGATCCTGGGGTCAGCCATATGCACCTCTAGAGGATACGGTGGCCCCATTGGGACAAGATTTGTTCCAGGAGGGTGAGATAGTATTGCAGGGTTTCAAGCTGGGTGGACTGGGGTAAGCCTCGTGCATTTTGGAGAGAATGCATCAGAAGGCATGGTGGCCCCACTAAAAGACCTGGCCACGCCCTAAATGAGGGTGGCGGTGCCTGCCCAGACTGGTTGGAAAGATGGAGAATAGTGGGAGAGTTCAGAACTTGGAGGTGATGGCTTGCTGAGGGCTTCAGTATGGGGCTGGGGGAAGGCTCATGACTCACTTACCAAGAATGTCCCCTGGCTTGTGCCTTCAGGACCTCCAAGCTGACACGCCTCTGGGTGACCTATGGCATCATGACTTCTGGGGCAGCAGACTGAGCAGCAACACCAGCCACAAGTCCTACCGGCCTCTGACTGTCTTGACTTTCAGGTGAGATGTGATGGTGCAGGGCCGGGAGGGTCACCCAGAGCTTTCACATGACATTGCATGGCTGTGTCAGCAGGCTCCCAGCTTTAGGGGAGGGACAGTAAGTAACTCCTAGGTAGGTGGAAGCTCTCATGTATTCTAAGAATTACGCAGTGATTCCAAGTATCAAGAGTGAGCCCCAAGGAGACTAAGAGGATGGGCTCGAGTTAATGTCACTTCATTGCTCACTGTAGCAACACAGACTAAAGCTGGAGAGTTGCAGAGAAGATACCAAGCCCTGCACAAGGATGCTGCACAGATTGGTGAAGCATTCCACTTTTCTCTCAGTGCGTGGAGGTGCTACCCTTTGCTGTTTGGTTAAGCACCCAGGGAGCAATATGGGACTTCTAATAAAGTTTGGATTTTTTTTCCACAACAACAAAAAATAAATAAGGTGTAAAGCTTCCTACTGTTACCCAGCCAATATGCAACATGAAAATGAAGCTTAAAAACAACTTCTTCCTCACACTACTTGGGAAGCTCTTGCATGAAGTTCCCATTCATGCCCACTGCTTGGGTGCCTTTAAATATGTGTGTCTTGATCTCCCAGAGAAGCACAAAGTGATGGACTGGAACCAGCAGCAATTGAGAACAGTTGAAAGTAAAAATCGCGGACAGTAAGCGGTGCTTTGTTGAGGAGAGCTGGTTGGCACACTGTTAAGTGCACTATTTTTGTGGATAAACAAGTTACCTGACTCTCTTAAATCCAGGACCCCAGAGGGGAGTCCTGGGTCCATGAGTAATGTGTGGTATATCATGTCTTGGAATTCAGTCTTTTTTTTTTGGCAGTACTAGGGTTTGAACTCAAGGCCTCACACTCGCTAGGAAGTGTTCTACCACTTGAGCCATGCCCCAGTCCCTTTTTACTTTATTACTTTTCAGGTTGGGTCTCAGACCATGATCCTCCTACCTACAGTCTCCCACATAGCTGGAATGACAGGCATGCCCCCACCATGCTTGGCTTATTTGTTGAGATGGGGTCTTGCTTTGCCAACTTTTTGCCTGGGCTGGACTTGAACTGCTATCCTTCCAATCTTTGCTTCCTTAGTAGTTGGAACTACAGGTGTGAGCCACCACATCTCCAGTCTGTAGTCCTTGTTTTCCTGTGCGTATTTTCAGTCCCCTCCCCTGGGGAATATCCATTTCTTCCATTCTCCCCTCTGTGGTTAATTGTGTTCACGTTACTTCTGCAGGCTTCTCAGCCGGACAGGCATCATTGCCTGGTACTATTTTTACCAACAGCTGGAACAGGCATCATTGCCCTGGTACTATTTTTACCAACAGCTGGACAGGCATCATTGCCCTGGTACTATTTTTACCAACAGCTGGACAGGCATCATTGCCCTGGTACTATTTTTACCAACAGCTGGACAGGCATCATTGCCCTGGTACTATTTTTACCAAACAGGCACCAACTCTTTGGGACTGTGGCCATTTCATTGCACACACGTCTGTACATCTAGCGTGACCATCCCATGTTTGCCACAGGATCAACTACTATCTATCGGGAGGCTTCCACCCTATGGGATTTCATGTGGTCAACATCCTCCTGCATGGTGGCATCTCTGTTCTCCTGGTGGACGTCTTCTCTGTGCTGTTTGGTGGCCTGCAGTATACCAGTAAAGGCCGGAGGGTTCACCTGGTCCCCAGAGCATCCCTGCTGGCGGCACTACTGTTTGCAGTGCATCCAGTGCACACGGAGTGTGTAAGTATCCCTTTTGCTGGTAACATCTGGGCGTGTGTAAGAAACGATAAGACATCAGTATGCCACCTTGGTTCCTAAATCAGGCTCCTTCACGCACTTCTCTTGGTTCCAGAGCTCCAGAGTACACAGCACAGTACACTCTAGAAATAGAAACGTGCAGTCCATAGATACTGTGCCAGATGCAGAAACAATTGTTTCTAGGTCAGCAATGTTTACAGCTACAATACTGGGGAGACTTTAATGCTAAAGGTATGGTCTGACCTCTGCTGACACTGTTGGGTAGCTTGTGTGATGATCCCAGTCCTGAAGAAATGAATGTTAATATTGCCTGGCTTTGCTGAGAACCCTTCTTCAGCTGAGGGTCTGAAGCAGCTTTTCTGTGGTAGCTGACAGTGTTATGATTTAAAAAATACTTTCTTAACTTGATTGTCATAAAAACACTCTGACATCAGGTTGGCTAATACAACAAGTCTCACTTTATAAATGAGGCAGTGGTCCTGAAGAATAAGGGACTTATTTAGGGCCAGTTGCAAGTGAATGTGGGACAGACTTAAATCCCAGGCATTCAAGGCCCACGCTGAGGAGTTGCTGACAGGGAGGAGCTGCTCATGAAGTCTTCTTTCTCCCTGTGGACCCTGGTCCCTGACAGACTTGGGCCAGGTAGTGGGGCAGCCCAACAGGAGCCTAACCTGCTTCTCCGGGACACCTCTCCCTGGCCTTTAGCTCATGGCCGGTGTATGGGGACAGACCATTGGGATTTAACCAGACATTTGTAAGGTTATAAGAACCTCCACCCTTGGGATATGTAGGGCAGTATGTTTCCTGAGATACAAGATTTGATTGTAGCCTTTTATTCTATGAGCCTGAAGCATCTAGTCTGAAATGTTGCATCTACTTTATTACTTCTCTACAGTAGGATTCTGCATTTAGTAGCAATTTAAATACATATGTTTAACCAGTTGTGCTATTGAGCATCTTGAATTAAGTGGCAAAATGTTGAGCAGAATTCCTGATTTTGGCATCTGATTTTGTTAAACTGTTTTCTCTTTTGGTATCAGGAGTATCATGGAGTTGTTATTATAACCTTCTTCTAATATCTTTTTTAATTTGACTTTTTTTTTTTTTACTTCAACAAATTCAGAGGGCTGAGGGCCTTGGTAGGCTTGGCACTGATGTTGTAAGAGCTCAGCTCTTAATGTTGTAAAGCTCTTTATTTGCAGGTAAGTATGACCAAGTTAGAATTGGTTTCAGTCTGACGTCTCAGTGATCTAAGTGTTGAGTCTCAAAAGTAGTATACACACCAATCATAAGCAAGGGAATCCCTGCAAAAGCCCTGATTTACAGTTGGCTTCTTGTCTAGTTTGGCATGATCTTAAAAGCAAAATGAAATGTTCAAATTATTAGCCAGAGAGAGTTTTCTGAAATTCTGGTTTTAAATATTCAGAAGATGACTTATAAAAAGGTTTCAAGGCCAACAAGTATGGCGGTGCATGCCTACACATGCGCGCGCACACACACACACTCACACACTCACACTCCAGACTAATGCAGTCTGAGAACATGTTAATCTTAAAAGGCCATGTTCCAGATCTTTGAAAGGATATAAGGGAGGTGTAGCCATATAAGCATGCTTGACGGGAGTGCCTGGAAGATCTCTCTGTCTTTACCCCCTCCAGTCCATGACAACCATTCAAACTCAGATTTCAGGAAATAGTTATGGATAACTAAAAATTATATTAGACAGATATTCTGTATGTTTACTTTCCATTATTTTGGAAATAGTATTCAGTTTCCTCTTGCCTGCTTTCTTCTGTTATCTCCCACTCCACATTTTAGATTTCCAGCCTTAAAAATGTACAAAAAGCAGGACTCTCTAGACCTGTTATCTTCAGGTGGCAGGCAAGTGCCCCAGGTGTCCTGCCAGCACTGAGGAGACAACCTGTTCTCTGCCATGGGCTGGGCATAGCAGCCCCAGACTGCATGTGGGTCCCTGTGGAATGAGGACAGTGGAGATTTAGGTAATAAATGTACCTCTGTTTATATTTGCTAAGGGAAAGTAGTAGCAGTGTGGGCCCCTCTGGGTTTTACTGACATACATTTTTCTTTATTGATGTGTCTTGTGTCTTTACTCCTGACATTAACACTAAAAATGCTTTGCTCAACACAGATAAGCATCTGCATTTTCTAGTCTAGTAGGAAAAGTTCCATGCAATGTGTCTGATATTGAGAGGGTTCTGACTGAAAACCAAGGCTGGCCACAGACAAACAGCGATGAGTTTGTTAACCTATAGGTTGACCCTCTTCCGAGGCTATGAGTGATAGGGAAATTATTGCATTCTCAACTGATAGGAATCAAATATCACTACCCCACCCCTGTTCCCTTTCCTCTTTCTCCTCCCTCTCATATATATTCCCAAATCACTCTAGGTAGTTTGTGGGCACATGAGGCTTTTGGCAGGTAGGTCCCCACTGGAGGTAGAAGAGCTAAGGGCAGGGGTTGGAAGGCCCTGGTCTCTGTGGCTCAGCAGCCACTGCTGCCATGAGGATGGAGGCTCCCAAGGACTCCCTGCTGATTTGAGTGCCACTGGTAGATTTTGCTTTTCTTTCTGCTTAAAGCATTAGTATAGATTTCAAGTTGCCTGGATTCTGGTATCAAAGAGAGACTCAGTCCTCCTTGTCAAATGAACCCAGACTTTAATATGGAAGGAATTTGGTGGGGGAAATTCCCCCTCCCCTTCCTTTGTCCTCCCTCCTCCAGTTCCTTTTTATGGTTCCTGTGAAAATTGTTCCTTGTTTTGTTTGTTTGTTTTCCCCAATACTGGGGTTTGAACTCAGGGCCTCGCACTTGCTAGGCAGTTACTCTACCACTTGAGCCTCTCCCCCAGCCCAAAATTGTTCCTTGTGATGAAACAATGCCACCTGAGTTATGGATTTAGGGGGCTTGAAATGATTTTTCCAGAAAACCCTGAAAGGAGTGTTTCAGGTAATTTGGGAGAAAAATACAGCTTTGGTAGAGAAGTTTGCCTGAAAATACATATTATACAAACATCAAAAAAGAAAATATAGAAAACCTTGGCATGAGCGTCTGGCGGAATGGCTCAAATGGTAGAGCACCTGCCTAGCAAGTGTGAGGCTCTGAGTTCAAACCCCAGTACTGCCAAAACAAAACAGTGAAAAAGAAAGAAAGAAAAAGAAAACCTTGTCTCAATGCCATTGTCCAGGACTGGAGGTGTGGCTCAAGTGGTAGAGTGCCTGCTTTGCAAGCTTGAAGCCCAGAGTTCAAACCCCAGTCCCACCAAACACAGTGCCATTCTCCAAACAGTGATTGGATATAGCCCCTTGGATAGCCTTTTGATATCTTTTGATCTATAAAGAAAATTCATTGCCAAAAATGAATTTTTTTTAATATGCCAAAGGTTCGTTGAAGTGATAAATGGTTTTTACTTTATGTCAAACTTTTGCTTTTCTTTATGTCACAATGTAAAGACTTGGAATCATCTTTGACAATTTACAAAAAGAAAAGCATTTCTCTAAAAATAAGCTTATGGATCCCAGTATCCAGGAGGCTGAAGCAGGAGGCTATTGAGTTCAAGACCAGCTTCAGCTGCGTAGCAGATGCTGTGTCAAAGCAACCAAAAAAAGTATGTTATGTTTATGATTTTTAAAGTTCATTTCTGAGCAATTCTTTGCATGTATCTGAGCTATCTAGATAGCAAGGGGTTTTGACAATCTGGTCCATCCTTTCAGCCCCATCGCTGGGATTTGTCTAAACCAACTCCTTCCCTTCACTCATTTCAAGAAGCTGTGTTTCCCGTTATTCGCTCCTGCTTCCTCTGACCCTGTTGCTCTGTGGTCCCTTGGACAAGCTTCTTTGCATTGGCTTATTACTTCTCTTTTCTGAGGGTTTAAGATTCCAGTCCATCCTCAGCAAGCCTTAAGGAGTTCTGCATCCTGGTTGGAGGACCACGGGGTCCAGATGCTGTAAATATGTCAATGCCACAGAAGCAATACCCTGCTTTCCCCTCAGTGCCTGTATCCTTTGTCCTTCCCCTTCCTGCTACTTACACCTATTTGTAGAGGCACCCTGTGGAATTCACAAGGGAAACTAGCAGGGACCCACCCCTACCATGTGCCAGGCTCTGTTCTGTGTAGATGTATCTGTGATCATTTTACTATGTCCCTGACTGAATGAACTTACTGAGTATTCCAGAACTCTTATTACATATTCATTTCATTCATAAAGTTATTGTATTGTTTAACCCTCCAGCTTACTGCCATACTTGTTCCAGACCTGTTGAGCCTTATTTTGTCCCTTGCTTCCCTCTTGGGAGGTTTATTCACTTGCATGATATTCATAGACTGCATTCTTCAGCTCATTCTCTTAGCTCTTGCATGACAACATTAATTTCATCATACACCTCCATGAGGAGTCACAACTCCAGTGGGTAATAGACCTGAGCATTTCATAAGTAACCAGTGCTCCTAAAAGGCATTCTTGTTCAGCTTTTGATTGTATATGCACTCGGGAAGCCAACGTACATAGTAATTTTCACAGTCATCATATATTCTTCTATCTGCCCTTTGAGAAGAGATTAATCTACCAGCCATTAAAGCAAATCCTAGAGAGTTGCAGCACAATCTTTGATACATGTCACATTCAGATTCTATTTAGTAAAGGATGCACGTAAGCTAACCTGATACCCATGAGTACAATTCCATGTCTTTCCTTGCCAAGAAACACTTGTAGAACAACTATTGGAGTGATCAGCCTAAAAGAAATATATCCAAATTTTATATGCTTCATTATCACTAAGGAAAAGAAGGGAAGGAAAGAGTTGCCCTGTGGAAAATGAGAAGAAATGGTAGAAATTTCACTCTATTTTCATCTCAATTGTTGATCACTTTTGCCCTGTTCTCCTTTTCAGATTAACCCACTTAATCCATTTTGGTCTGAAAGGAGGACTGCGTGGCAGAAGCAGCACAGAAGGGTCATTCCTGTGTTGTCTTCTGTCTGCCTGATGATTTTAACACATATGTCCTACCTTTATGTCCTTCATATTCCCAATCAATTTTTTTAATATTATAGCCTCTGAGCTGATAACACTTTCCAATTGAAAATCCACTGTGGGAACATCAGAAGCCCACATCGCTGGAGCTCTTAGGCGTAGTGCGTTAAATAACACAGCATTTGCGGAATGCACACATGTCTGCTGGTGTGTAGCTCACAGAGCAGCTGTCAATCAGCAGACCAACCCAGTTGCTCTTGAAGCACTGAAATCAAGTCCTAGAACAAAAATGGAGATCACGTCACAGGGGGGTTGTTCCGCTACTTGGATTATTGTAACAGGGGTGGGGTCTGGTAAGTCTCTTGTTTTATATGTCTAAAGAATTTTTGTATTTCCAAAGTTAAGGAATGTTTTCATGTTTTTTATGCAAATCTTCCTCCCCTCCTTTTTTTAAGGTTGCTGGTGTGGTTGGCCGCGCAGACCTCCTGTGTGCCCTGTTCTTTTTGTTATCCTTCCTTGGCTACTGTAAAGCATTTACAGAAAGTAAGCATGACGTTTGCCTTCGGAGTTTTCCACCTACATGTTTTTGTCCTGTCGAGAGTTTTAACAATTGGGCAACTTCCTGTTTGCATAAGTCTTACCATTTTAAGGGGATGTGGGTCAGAATTTCAGCTCTCCTTGGGTATATCTGTTTACTCCTTGCATTTCTCATAACGCATAGTTCTAGATCAATAATGCAAACTTCTAATGCCTGTGTTTATATGGAAGTATTTCGTTGGGTGGTGAAGCCACAAGGAGAAGCAGCAGCAAAACTGAAGCCCTTGGAATGGATTTTGCTGTTTTATTTCAGGCAAAATTGCACATTATTCTGGGGCAGGCTGGACTCTAAACTTTTCATGCATTTATGGTCTAGCCCTCCGTAGTTTCCCAGGGTGGACTGGACCAGGCCTGTGAGAGTCTTCTCTCACTGTCCCTCCTCCTTCCTCCATTCCTTCGTCCAGACTGCACCTGAACTTCTATGTGTCTTGGAGTGCATGCTCTCTCAAACCTGTGACTCACTGAGACATAGGGAGAGGAACCCAGTGTCCCAAACTGTGCAGGTGCACACTCGGGTAGTTACACCTGATCATTCCCTGCACTCTTTGGCCATTATTGTTTTGCCATGCCAACAAAACTACCATTCATCAATTTTCTGACACATCAGAGAGTTGGGATAGATGCACTGAATAACACCAATGTGTTCATTAGCAACAATGGTACTACATGAGCTAAAGTTGGCAAATCTGAATTTGCAAGTACACAGGACTATAAGCAGTTTATCGGAAGTCATATTTTTCCTGATGAAAATTTAAAATTAAGACTTGAGATTTTTTTCAAAGGTAACTGACATTTCAGGAAGCATCATTTTATTTAAGTAATTACTTGCTATTCTAAATGGATTTCACAGACATCAGAAATGCTTAGAAGAAAGTATTAAAGTATATATTTAACATTTGGAAACTTTCATTACTTTTAGAGATTGTTCTTGTGAAATAAAGAGAAAAACTCATGAAATCAAAAATTCTTCTATCAAGTGAACTGATTCATTTATTAGCCTTTTTTTGATGGAATGTACTCTCAGAATGGTGAAAAGCTAAGACATTTTAATATTTTTTTCCTGGATTATTTATTATTTCTGTGTTCCAGTTGACAGATTATTATTTATATATTATGTGTGTATCTGTTTTTAACTGTAAGTAGCCACATGCCTTTTTTTTTTTAGTCCCATAGCATTGTTTTAGCATTTACATGTATTTACTTTAGCAATGAAAGGAAATGATTGGGCATTTAATGTTAAGTTTATAAATGTTTTCAGGAAAGTTAACCTGGAAATATTTCATGTTTGCAAATCAATAGCAGTGATAGATGTAGCTCATGTGGAAGCCCTTTTGGGATTAGGAATAGGTGTTCATTTGGTAGACGTTATGGAAACAGTTAGAAGACGGATGGATGGATGAGGGAGCCATTGTAGAAGCCTTTCTGACAACCTCCTGTCTATAAGCTGCCGCATCTTCCTGGAATCTGTTTGCCTGGTAACTTGAGCACCCTGTAGGAAAGGAAAGAGTAGGTCAAAATGGAGCCTATGGCATTGCCTCCAGCCTGGTCTCTCTGGTCTTTTGCAGTCAATGACAGCTTACCTAGTCTTTGGGAAAGTCAAAGCTGTAGTAGTTTGCTCTGCACAGTCATCTGGGCCTCAGCGCCTTGACCCTGAAAGTTGTTATTGGCCATGGACGTTTGTGTTCTTTCTGTCCTCTGTCTGTCCATGTCCAGGCAAGCATTGAGTTAGGTCATCACAGTTCTTTCTTGGGAGTTTAGAGTGGGTGGTTTAAAACACATCTTTCATGCTGCCACCTCCATCATTATAAATTGGTTTCACTGCTATTTTCCCATTCCCACTCATTTCCCATCACATGCTATTGACAAAACAATCAGATTCTGCCTACCAATTTCATCACAGGTTTGTAGGCACGAAGAAACGTAGGCCCTTGAGAGAGGCCTTAGGTGTACTATGATTAATTTCTTCTCCCTCCTCCCGCTTCCCCTTAGTAACTTCAGGACCTTGCAACCTAACCCCCAGTCCATCCCACCTTGCTTCTTGGGGCCAGATGGCTCCAGAACAGCCAATTGCACCCCAGCCACTCTGTCTCTTCCTCTTCACAACTCCCCCGCTCTTTGTCTTTCCCAAACTGAACTGTTTCCTTGTCTCTTGATAGAAGCACCATTGCTCCTTTTTAAACATGTTAAGAGTAGAATGCAGGACTGGCAGAGCGATGCAAGTGGTAGAGTAAGTGCTCCCTAGCAAGCATGATGCCCTGAGTTCAAACCCCAGTACTGCAAAAAAATAAATAAATAAAAAGTAGAATGTACTCTTTTGTCTATAAGCAACAGCTCTTTAGAATCATCCTTAAACATGTTAACATTCACTTCACACATATGGTGTCTTGCAGTCTTTTTTAACAGATGTGCAGTATCCACACATAAGAATACCAGAGGAGAAGCAGTGAGCCCTTGATGCAAAAGTCATTCTTCACCTGGTATTATGAGAAGTACACATGGTCTCCAGTTCTGTTCTGAAATAGCAGAGGCTTCAGTCATTCATTCCTTTACCAATCAGTCAAACTTTAGGGGGATTTCTTGTACCTGAGGATACAAATACTAGAAAGACAAAGTCCATGCTCTTGAAGGGCTATTCCATATATGTGTTTGTATATTTATTTATTTATTTATTTATTTATTTATTATAGTGCTGGGGATGGAACCCAGTACTCCACCATTTGAGCTACATCCCCAACCCAGTATGTTTTTATTAAAATAAATCTCCAATTACTCAAAATGCTCAAAGGAGCAGAATCTTTCCATTCTCCATATTTCTCTGTGAACTTTGTCCTCCCTGTCCCCATCTCAGCATATGCTCACTGTCACCTTCTTTTGATGGAGTTTACAGAATGGATGACCAAGGTCCTTGTATCACTAATTTCTTTGGTATTCCCTCTGATAAATTTCCCTCGATCCAGCAGAGCAGAGCGTTTCATCCTGATGAACCTTCAGGTGCCTATTTTCACTTGAAGTTTGAAATATCTTAAGAAGTAGTCATTTTATTTCCCTTAGCTAACCAGCATGGATATATTAAAGCCGAATGGTGAACACATGTATTCATGTCATCACAATGATGGTTTCCTGTTCCATTTGCCCGTGTATATAAGTGCTTAGCAAAGAATTGAACCCTGTGTGGTAGGCATTATTTGCATCTAGTATTTACTAGGATGCAAATAATAATGTGGTTCCGTGTTTACATTTAATGTTTAAAGTGATCTGTTTAAAGACTTGGTCTTTGTACTTTTTGGGTCTAAATATAAAAGGAAAGAGGGGAAAAAAGGCCTAGCGTTAGTTATGTGTAAACTTGAATTTCAAAAAAACTTTATATATTGAAACAAATTTAATATTATTTTATAAGGGAACAAAAAATTAAGTACTCTGACATTAATGATTTAACTGGCTAAAAAGCTCTTTCCGAGGCTGAGTCTCTTTCTTGGTAACCTCATTAGCTTTCTTTACAGACATAGTGTCTATTATAAAGCTCAGGACAGTTTTTAACTGCCTGAGTATATTAGCAAAAATAAGCTCTGGAATCCTGACATGTTCAGAAAATTCTTTTAAAAATTTACTTACATACAATATCCAGGGCTCTGCCCTCTTTTTTTCTTCTTGTTTGTTGTTGTTGTTGTTTTGCTTTAACATAATGTCTCCAAATAAGACCTTTTGCAACAGAATCTTTTTTAGAAAGGGGTATGTCCTTATACAAGCAGCATACTTTTACTTTTCTTAAAAAACCATTTAAGTCAGATGAAGCCAATGGTGCACTGGTTATTATTTCTAAATGCCCAAAACAAAAAGTGTTTTTCTTGTAATGAGCTGTTTTCTCAATATTTATGTCTCTTTAAAGGCTGGACTTTCAGATTGGAGACAGACAATCGTTGCACAGTTAATTCCTGTACAGTAAGCTTGCTAGAATGGCAAAATGATCTCATTTTTAAACTAATACCTTAAAATACTCTTCTTATTAGAGTTAGGACTAAGAGGAGAAATTGGTCTCATTATATGGGGAGGAGATGAGTCTCTTACAGGAATGGATTCACTACATACCTAGAACAGCCATTGAAACTCTGAACAATTTCTCATAGTATCAAAGACAAGATCTCAAGTCTCTGTTGTTCTTAACTTAAGCCTTCTTTGCTGTGTTGTTCTCCTTCTAGTTCAGGCACTAAAACAAAATGCCTCTTATTCTCCCTCATGTTTCCATTCTGATACTTCACATTTGGCAGTTTTTTTGACTTAGAATCATGCAACTTAAAAAGTAGGGTGATTGCCTAACTCACATCGTGTGGGCCACCTGCTTTTAGATTTAGGGTTGTTGCTGACTGAGTCCTGACTGGTATTCATCTGTATCTTCTTCTCTCTGCCTTCATGTTTCCTCATTGCTTGATTTTCCCAAAATGGTCCCTAATTGAGGATAGCAAGTCTGACTTTCATTCTGCACATGGAAGCAGGCTTGGATGCTTCCAGCTTTTGGAACATGAATCTGATGCTCATTGTGTGGCTGTGGCAGCTACAGAGTCATGGCCACCTGTCAGGGTGGCGCAGTTCCCACACACACCATGATGTGCCAGTTACACTCGGCAGAGATGCCAGGCAGAGGGTAGTAAAGAGGGCTAGCTTGTACAATGTGTTGCTTTTGCTGAAAGGAGAGCTTCCCACTGGAAGGAGTGCCAAGTCTGAGACGCATGCTTCATTAAATTGGTCACATCTGTTGGCACTTGACGGTGTTAGCACTGACAAGTGTCTTTCTGCTGTATTGCATTTTCTTTCCCTGTGATTCCTTCACTCCATCAGCCTTTGCCTTCATTTGTCTACTGAGTTGAATTATCTTAGGTAATAGAGATGTATACCGAAACAAGGAAAACATTTTCCTAACAAATTGCTATGTAATTACCCTAGAGTGAATGGTTTTCCAAAAGGTGAGAGATATAGCATGGTTACAAACTGTTTTTTTCCCATCTTCTCCTAGGTCACCGTAGCTTAAAATATAGCAGTCTGGATGAAGGTGAGACAGAGAATTCTGGGAAAAGGTGACATCCTAGGTGCTTGTGGAGCCACACACAAGTTAGAATTCTGGCCTGGGGAGATTTTTCTGAGCAAAGATAATCAAAAACACAACTACAACATCAGCCTCTCAAGATTTACTGTTTTTAACAGTTCCTTCTGAGTTGAAAATTAGTCAGTTTTCTGTATGCTTTTAAATATTCTTAGGTAATTTTCAAAGTATGTCTTTTAGTCTCTTACTAAGGAAAGTTCTTCCAATGTAAGGTGGTTCAAAGGCAAAGTAAAAAATGAAGACTGGGCTGGAAGTGTGGCTCAAGTGGTAGAGTGCCTCCTTTGCAAGCACAAATTCAAACTCCAGTCCCACCAAAAAAAGGAAAATGTGTGTGTGTGTGAAAAGACTTGACTTTTGTCTGTATTTGTTCACATTGAGAAAATTATTGACTTTTTCATATTATTAACATTTCATAACTACATAAGAAACATGGCAATATAAGAAGTCTTCTGATAGGAATGGAAAGAAAGGAAACTATTTGTTGATTCAACAGTTATTTATTGAGCACTTACTATATGCAAGATGGCCTAGTGTTACCTTAGTCACATTGTTGAAATGTTCAAACTTAGACTAACAAAATGGCTTGCCTTTGTTACTTGGTAAAAACATAGCCACAAAACTACAAATTCAATTATGTGATATGTTGGCAGTTGTTAGCATTGGTCACCTTAATAAACTAACTCAAATCTTAATCTGAAGAACATGGGTCAGACTACATGAGGCTGGGCCAGCCCAGAACTCATAACCAGTTCCCCTGGTTAATTTTTATCAGGCCTTTGTTGCACACTCCAGAACTGGAGATGTTTTGCCAACACTGTATAGGTTGGCCTTGGTTTATCATGTGCACACATAGTACATACTAGTTTAAAGGACCCCTTTGACTTACATGATATGGTTTTAAAATGTTAATTAAATTAAGCTTCCCAGTTTAAGCTCTGGAAAACGCAAACATGTATGCGTATGCTTAGTCTTAGGACTCCTGATAAAATACTGGGTCGGTGAATCTGGCACAGATTAGAGGAGAAAAAGTTGGGTTTAAATAAGCAAACTCATTTTATATTTCCCAAGTTTTCAAAGGTAGAGTTGGAATACAAGCACAGCAATGTGCAAATCATTTTATCTGTGAGCTGGGACTCTGATTACATAGTCTAGAGGCACTGCCATGCCATAGAAATGTAACAGGAACCATACATGTAATTTTAAATCTTCTACTTGCCACATTATAAAAAGAAACAAGTGAGATAAATTGCTATAATATATATTACTTAGCTCAATATATCAAAAATATAATTTCTCATGCAATCATTGTAAAAACATGAAATATTTTGCTTTTTTTTTTTCTCAGTAAGTTTTAAGAATCAGGTGTGTAAGTTACATTACAACCCATCTCAGTTAGGACTAGATAAATTTCGAGTGCTCATTAGCTCTAATGACTTCTCTCCTGGACAGTAGGAGGTCTGGTATGAGGTCCTCTGCAGGAGAAGCTGGCACTAGGTCAGTAACTGATCATTGAAATCTTCCCTCTGATCTGAAATGACCACTGTTTTGAGAAGTGATGCCTAATATTTAATGGTCACTGAAACTGAAGAAATCACAAAGAAACAGTGCTTTCATCCATGTTTTTGTCCTGGATGTATTACAGGCAACATTGGAAACCTAAGGGAAGATTAAAGAATAGGATTCTTTCAGAACTGCAATAGAGGATTTAGACTGGAGGGCGTTTAGGATTTGAGAGGTATAGAATAATTAGGGAGAAGATGCAATAAATCCAGAGCTGTGTTTGCCAAGTGTGGTGGCACTTCTGGAGGCATAGGAAGGAGGATTGCAAGCTGAGGCCAGCCAAGGGCAAAAAGCACAACACCCTAGTCAAAAAATAACCTACAGCAAAAAAGGGCTACAGTATGGCTCAAGTGTTAGAGTGCCTGCCTAGCAATCACAGGGCCCTGAATTCAAACCCCAGAACCACTAAAATGGGGTGGGGGTTGTGCTTTTATGTTATTTTTCTGTGTTCCAGTAAGTCGGAGTTAGCCATGCAAGGAGAAAGCCATTTTAAATTCTACACAAGATGAGTGAAGCATGAGCCCATCGTTTTCACATCTGTGTGGTGATTTAACTTTGTATTAACAGGGTGTCTTCAAGAGCAGTTCTTTGGGTGTTTTGATGGGGGAGCTAGAAATTTGTTTCCTCTCAAAGGCACTGGTGCATAGGGGGAAATTAATTCATGTTACAGTTAAGTAAAATATAAGCTATTCTGTTTTTCTAGGAATAAATGTAAAATCATCAAGTGCCTTGCCTTTGAAATGAAGAACTAGGACTATTACATTGGGAAATCATGTTTAGGTAAAAAATACAAAAAAAAATTGTGGGAGTGAGAAAGCTTTTTTGGGGTAGTAATGTTTTTTATTCATAGATGAGAACCTGTGGTAGTTAATGGGCTCATCATTAAGGCTTTCTGTATGGTCTGCTAATATGAGAAAATCTTTAAGTGGTTTGACCCAAACTCAGGAGGAGGGAAGAATAGGATTGCCTAAACCAACCCATTCTCTACTATGTGGCAGAAGGCCTGGGTTTCAGATGCATGGGAGGGGACATTGTAAGCTGTGTTCACTTGAGGTTTTAGCATTTAGACCCCTGTTCTTCACTGCTCAAACTTGTGGTGCATTTTCCCCAAATCATCTCCTAACAAGAATTAATCAATATGTTAGCTTTAGGGTTATTTTGACCAGTTTTGTTTTTTTTTAAAGCTTTGGGGCCTGTCCACATTTGCCTGCTAGTGAGTGCCAGCAAATACCCAAATAATAAATCTCATAAACAAGTAATTGCTTAAATCAAAGTCACAATGTAATGGATTTTTTAAAAATAGTTTGGTTGTTATGTTATGCTGGATTGTGCTCTTTTGGTATTATACACACATATATCACAAGTAGTTTTTGCTAAACATTCTTTGATTGAACTAAATATACTGACATATAGTGGTTTTTAGTAGAGAGAACTTGACTTCTTGACCTTGTGCCGCATGAAAAACTTGGAACTGAGACAGGAAATTTGGAGGGTCAGACTTGGGTCAGTATAAGGAAGAATATTCCTAATGACCCACAGTTTAAAAATGAAATGGACTGCTTTTATGAGACGTTCTTCCCCATTGCTGAAGTTACTCAAGTCAAGGCCAGGTGGCCCCCTGCTGGAAGGATCCTGGAAAGGATTCTGCTTCACCCATGAACACATGTTGCCCTTCCAGAGAGTCAGGTGCTGCTGCTGATTTGATCAGCCCAATTTTCGATTCCTCCTTCAAGCCAGGCCTGGTGCCAGCAATATAGCCGTGTGCAAGCTTACTATGAGAGTGATGCTCTCAGCCGCTGGGAGCATCAGAATGGTCCCCAAAGCTTGTTGAAAGGACAAATGACCAGTTGCGATCCTCAGAGTTCCTGACTTTGCAGGGCTAGGTGGGACCTGAATGTCTGTTTCTACCAAGATCTGGATGTGGGTCCTTGAGCCACCACTGTAAGTAAAACTGGTTTAGGGTGAGGTTCTCAACTGGGCTGATTCCTGCGCCAGAGTCAGTCTGTTATGTCTGTGACACAACTCAGGGGAAGGATGCTATTAGCCTTTAATGGGCGAAGTGAGAAATGCTGAGCTATGAGGCAGGAGATGGCCTCTACAACAAAGAATCAACCAGCCCAAATGTTAGAGGTGTGGTATTGAGAAACTCATGGGAAGAATGACCGAAAATCAAGTGTTAATAAACTGAAGACTATCATGTTGGATTGTGATAAGGGCAGTTTAGAGGCTGTGACTTGTCCTATTTTAATCTAGGGGATCAGTTAGGAGCACCTGCTCACAGGGGCAATCAGACATGCAGTAGGCCCATTTGCTGTTCTCACTGGAGTAAAGCAAGTGAATTCAGAAGGGAGACTGCCTGGCAGTGCAGGGGCATAGTTTCACAACCTGAGTGGCATTTGACAGCTTTATGAGATGGGTAGGCTTTTGCCAAAGGCATTCTAGCTTGAGGGAAGGGAGTATGCAAAGCAGAATGAGATGTGTTGAGTTTGCCAGTGTGCCTGGAATGGAATATAGACCTGTGGAAAATGGAGAGGTGCCCAGTGGTCACTGTAGCAAGGCCACTAATGAAAGCCATTCTCAGAATGGGAAACCTTAGCCTGAAGGCAACAGCAGATGTTAGTCCTGTCACATTTTGTTGTGTGTCCAGAGGGTTCAGCTGGGTACATACAGACTTCATCATTCTGACAGAAGTCTCATCGCATGTGTAGAGGGCGTGAGGCTAAGAGGACCTCCCACCCAAGCCAGGCCCAACTGGCTGTTGGCAGGATGTGAAAGCCTTCACAGACTTTTATATGGTCTGAAGGCCATGCATATATACATACACATACTTGTTAGCTCCCCCAAACAAGCAGTTTAATGAAAATCAGGGTGTACCTTGTACACTGCACGATAGCCTGGCACATTTTGTGACAAGGTGATTCATCAGCTACCTCCTTGACTGTTGCATCAAAGTCCTATTTAGAGGGCATTATCCAGGCAGAAGTGCAGAAATGCACACTGACCCACCAAGGAGTGTTGTCTGAGGACCAAACTGGTTTCAAATTGTGGCTGTTGAGTGCATGCTTGGAATTTTAGTTCCTGATGTTAACAAGACAGAACAAATTGCTTGACTTTTGCATTGATCTCTTATTGGCAGGTAACAAGGAGGGAGCACATTCTTCTACCTTCTGGGTGCTGCTGAGTATCTTTCTGGGAGCAGTGGCCATGCTGTGCAAAGAACAAGGGATTACCGTGCTGGTAAGGGCTAACTCCGGGAGGGCCTGCACTTTGTACACATCCGTTCTACTCTTCTGTAAAGACATCCTGAGCCAGCCTGCCTCTGTGACCTCCTCTGTTTCTGCATCCCATTGCCAGCCTGAAGTCAGAGACCAGTAGTTTGCACTGTCACATTTCTGGCATTTCAGGTGGGAAATTGACTAATGCTGTTGACCATCTTTAGCAGCTTGTAGAAAGCAGTGCATGGGAAGTTCTTACAGAGCCCTGATTCATCTTCTTGGAGAAGTCCTGTAGAACAAGGAAAGAGTGGTTGGATTTCCTGACCCACTCATGTATGTCAGCAATCCTAGATGTAACAGAAGACTAGCTCCAGAAGTGCATTTGGTCCTGGGTTTAGCAAGAGTAGGGTGTAGTTTGAAAATGAAGAAATGGTAGATCTGCCCATCACTGAAGTCCTCCAAACACTCACATCCTTGACTGTTCTCCAGTTTCCACCCTAGGGTGAGGCTTCAAAGCTAGAATCCAAGTGCTCCATGTTCATGATTTGACATGGAATTACAAGAGTACTAGTCTAGAAAAGCAGCACATGTGACAATGCTAATGTGTCAAGTGAGACTTCATTCTCAAAGGGCTCTTTCTAAGCCACATGTGTCTCATCCTCATGTATTTTTACCTCTGAGCCTTGAAGTCTCTTCATATATCGTATAGAAAATGTATCATCTTGGATGTTTTTAAACTTTAGAGTACATCTTATTTAGGAAATGCAAGCAAAACCCAGATGCGAAACTTCTTTTAACCAGAGGTAAAACTTCAGTCTGTTTTCATTTTCAATTCTATTCCAGTCTTTAAAGCCAGACTACCCAAAAGTATTTACCGTTATTGTATTGAAGTGTATTCTACATATTGTGAAATGCACAGGTGTAAAGGTACAACTTCCAGTTTGAACAAACATATACACTTGTGAAACCATCACCCCAACCAAGATATGCAATGTTTGTCTCCCAGAAGCAACCTAACAGCATTCTTAAAAATGAGAAAAATAAAAAATCATTAAATAAGAACAATTTTAAAACATTTCACACTGTCTTTAATATTGTGATAAGACCAGTTATTTCATCAGTTGATCCTAGGGCTTCAATTAGTGCTTCAGTCATTTAATTAAATAGATCATTTGCTAAAAGTTCCTGTGTAAGAAAATACATTTTACCCACTTTGAGGAGCATTTCATTCTTCCTGTCTTTACTCTGATTCCTCCTTGTCCCTCACCAGCCACCTCCTCACAACAGCTAAAATGATCTTCTCAAAACTTAAATTGTGCTTAAATTGCACTTTCCTCTTAAAAACCCTCCTCCCAGGGCTATGTTTAGTAGAAAACACAGGTCCTTAAAATTCCACGAGCCTTGCACCTCTGCCTGGTACTGGACTGTTTCTGCTTCATGACCTCTGTCTGGGATGTTCCTCTGCTTGCCTTTCCCCCACTGTCCTTCCTTTCCTCAGGCACAGTGTTGGTTATCTCCTCAGAAAGGCCTTCATGGCCCTATCCTGTCTACACTGTCATTGAATAGGAAAGAATGGACATTAAATGATAGATGCCTCAGATAGATGCCAAGAGTTACAAGGTGTTTAGTGTGTGTTAAGTTACACTCAGCTTCCACTGGGGCTCCCAAAGTGTGTAGGTGCATTCTAGGTCTGACCTGAATAGAGGCTGGGGTTGCAATTCACCTTCCTTCCCCTCCAGTCTAGCCAGTTTTGGGCTTTACAATATAAGAGGAAAATTTAGAAATTAAGGGTATGAGCAGAGATAAAGAAGTAGAAAACAAAAATGTGGGATTTGAAAAACCATGTAAGAATAGTTTGAGAAAGAGAAAGCAGTCAGCTATTGGAGGGTTGACAAGGCAAGGCAAGATTAGTGATTTTATCAAGCTTTACCTGTAAAGGTTAAGGTTAGCTAGAAAGGAAATGGCAAAGACAGACTTACTGTAGAAAGATACTTGAATCTCTTGAGTTACTTGTATTTAAAGTTTACTCTAAACCAGTGTTTCTTAACCTTGGCACTATTGACATTTTAAACCAGATAATTCAGTGTAGGGGCTGGGGGGACTGTCCTGTGCCTTGTAGAATGTTTTGTACCATCCCTGGCCTCTACCTACTAGCTGCCAATAGAACTGCCTCAGCTGTCCTAAAATGCATCTGGACATTGCCAGATGTCCCCGAGGGCAGTGTCATACTGTTGAGTACCATTGCTCTAAACCTTGACACTAATGTAAGGATGGTTTGAGGACCAATAGTGTCAGTAACTCCTGAGAGCTTGTTAGGAATTCAGGACCTGGTCCCATCCCAGGCCTGCTGAGTCTGAATCCTAACTTTACCAGGTTGGCAGGCCACTCCTGTGTGTATTACCATTTTAAAGGTATTAAAGATTAGGTTGAATTTACATAACTAAAGTGTGAACATTTTGATGATACCTTTCAGTGGGACAAAGGAAGGAGTGCCAGCCTTGTGTTTCACTTAGTCCTGGTGATCACATGACTCTCCATCACCTCTTGGTGACTGCCTCATAGATCCCAGGCAGAAAAACAAACAGCATGAGAAGACAGCAGCAACTAAACAGGGAGCTCCTGCTTCCTAGAAAATGGCTTACAATCTTCTGTGACCCACGATGATCATGCATCACATGAAAGGAAAAGTCAGGATTCTTTGAAATGTGTAACCGGCACTGGCCCATGTATTGGATAATTAATAGCCCTCAGCGTTTATGGGAGAGGGTTAAGTCGGGATGTCATCCTTGCTCTGAAAACCACAAATTACCACTGACTTCTGATGAATTTTGATCTTCTCTGCCACAAAGCCCCATATTAAAAAGACCCAACTCATGTCAGGGCAGCTTTAACCATATACACTGGTATATTCAGACCCCTTTATCCAGATCAAGCCAGGAGTTCTGCTAGATGATGCCACCTGGCACAGCCACATTTGTAGAAAGTCCATGGCAGGGTAGAGAGTAGATGCAAGGCTCATTTCTCCTTCAGCCTACAACTACAGGTTTAGGACTGAAACCAATGGAAACCGTTAGCATAGGTGGACCCATAATAGCTCCCAAGAGCTTCACATAAATTAATTATTTGTTTTTCTGTCTAACAGTCTTGGGCAGAGGTGGCTGTCCTCCATATAGCAGGACCAGGCTGGTCAAGGCCTTGCCATCATCAGTGTGTAGTTTCCAACGTTGCTTTTAGTATCTCCATCCCAGCCAATTGGAAAAGGAAACCAAGAGGAGAGGAGACCAGCTGTTAAACCAAACTTCCTAAATGAAAGATTTCCCCATATTCCTCAGGCTAAACTCAGCCACTTGACCTTACCAAACTATAGAGGAGGCTGGGAGATATAATCCAGGTATATCTAGGGATAAGAGAACACTGGCTGACAAAAAGGACTGCCTGAGAGATCGCCACAGCTCTTTCAGACATTCAGATGTGTGTCTGCCCCTACTCAGCATGCCCAAATCAGCCAGTACTCAAGGTTTACTTGTGTGGCTTTGTTTGCCTTTATCCTCTTAGGCATAATTACTGCCCAGGTAACTCACCACTCTGTTACATGAACTAAAGGACTATGATGGTTATGAAAAGAAAACAAAGGGCAGGGGGAGGAGCAGGAACTCTTGAAAACTTCTCTTGGGAGCCCCAGATTTCTAGCTTATGTGACCATGAAATCATTACTAACAGGGCTTTATAAGATAATACATTACCTTTAGCTAATTTCATGCAAAAATAATGTTCTTTTTAAGTGCCGAAGGCTTCTTCTATGATCATCTGATCCTTTGCATCTGACTATAATTGCTACCTAATCAGAACCAGACTCCCCCATGACTGTTTATATGTTTTGCTTCTTTAGGGTTTGAATGCTATGTTTGATGTCTTGGTGATAGGCAAATTCAGCATGCTGGAAGTCATCCAGAAGGTGCTACGTAAGGACAAGTCATTAGAGGTGAGTTACATACTTTTGTCTCCAGCCCAGACATGGAAACTGTCAAGTACCAGCTAATATAAAATGCCATTTTCCAAGTGTTTCTCATTGTTTTTGATTCTAAAATAGATAACCTTTTAATGCACAGTGTGAAAGTCATCCAAGCAGAATTGTTGTACATTGCTGTCTTGGCCACACTTGTATTTGAAAATCTGCAGCAATTGGGGGGCTTTGCGGTGTCCTTTCAGAGTACTGGCATGCTCAGGAATGGGGGCCTCCTCTTCAGAATGACCCTCCTCACTTGCGGAGGGGCCAGCATGCTCTACGTACGCTGGAAAATCATGGGTACGGGCCCGCCGGCCTTTACTGAGGTGGACAACCCAGCTTCCTTTGCAGACAGCATGCTGGTTAGGGTGAGTACTGAGTCTGCTGCCTGTTTGGTTTATTTTCTTTCCTCACTAAATTCCCAGATCCTCATCCTTCCTCATCTCAATCCCCACCACACTCACAAAATCCCTAATAAATGGGCACCAAAGGTATTCTAGGATGAAGCCAACTTTTTATTAGAGCACTAAGAGGTTGTGTGTAAACCCTTGTACAGTTATCTCTTGGTATTGGTGGGGAGTTGGTTCTTCGAACCCCCATGGATACCAAAGACCAGGAATGCTCAAGCCCCTTACATAAGATGGTAGAGTGTATGTGTATCACCTATGCACCTCTTTCCTGTATACTTTAAATCATTTCTGTGCTAATATTATTATATATAACACCTAATATGTTGATGCATCTCTTCATTCACATGGATTCAATGAAGTACTCAGTGCACAGCAAATTCAAGTTTTACTTTCTAGAATTGTTTTTCCCAAATATTTTCAGTCCATGTTAGATTGAATCCATGGATGCAGAACCTGCAGGTACAGAGAACCAACTGTATTTCCTTTCTAATTAAAGTGAAGCAAGGTGGTCCCTTCTACCATCTGGTTCCTTGTCAATCTTGTTAAAGTGCCCCTGATCCCATTATTTATTGGAGAGAAAATTGGTGTGGCTGTGTTAACACAAAATATAACAACATTGCTGGTATCTTTTAAGAGTCTAACAGTCTAAATTAAGATTCTTTATTCTTTTAGGTGTGTCCTTTTCTAAAGACAAGGATATTAAGCCACATATTCTTGGCTGTATACTCCTTAGAAAGAAATCAAGAGGACAACCAGGGACAGAACCCTTTCTGATGTTATTTGGCACCTAGGTGACCTCTGAGGCCTCAGATTCCCCAGGTCATGAGTTTTAGGCATTTCCAAGTAAATGGGGTTATAGCTTGGCCAGAAATATGACGAATGTATTGCCTGGTCTGGTAGCTTGACTGTATTTTTAAATATATTAAGATCTGAATGCATTTAATAAATTACAGGCTACAATCTCTTGCCTAGAATACAAATGGGCAACATTTTATTTTTATACAACTACTCTCCTTGAACAGAAGCCTATGAATGTCTCAAAAGTGAAGTTAGGGTATATACATGTTCTTTCAAGTTCAGTATCAAGTAAGTGTTTGTTTTCCTTTTGACTGACAGGCCATAAACTATAATTACTACTATTCATTGAATGCTTGGCTGCTGCTGTGTCCCTGGTGGCTGTGTTTTGATTGGTCAATGGGCTGCATCCCCTCATTAAGTCAGTTGGTGACTGGCGGGTAATTGCTCTAGCAGCACTCTGGCTCTGCCTAATTGGCCTAATATTCCAAGCCCTGTGCTCTGAAGACAGCCGCAAGAGAAGGTAAGAGGCAGGGAAGAATTTTAACTTCTGCCCTGGGTCAAGGCTGAAGCATTTTGCTAAATCCAGCACTGATCACTTTAACGATTTTGTGGACAGGATGTCTGAGGACATTTGTTCCAAATACATATTAATGGTGAGGATGAGCTCCTTCTACTAGGAGTCCACCGGCTACCTTCACCTAGTGGGGAGGGACTTTGGAGGAGGGGTGAGGATGACTGCTTTGTGTCCCCGCCCCTTTCTCAGAGAAGTAGCACTTGGAGATCCTTTTCGCTGTAGGTGGTGAAGAGTAATTCATGGTAAGAAAGAAAGTGTAATTGATGTGTGTTGTGCCTATTATTTCACAATTCTCCTTCAAAAAAATCCCTGGTAAATGCTAGGGTAATTCCTTTTGTTGTTGTTGGGTACAAAATAAGCAGCTGCCCCAAAGAGATTATTCTTTTTCAACAGAAGAAAAAAAAAAAGATTTTTAAGAAAAGGTTATTGAGAAAATAAGTGGGAAAAACAAATGTGTTTCATGAAAATGAAAACTGTTTAAGAAGATTTCCATGAAGCATAAGTGTTTCCAGAATTAAATTATTTTTTCAAAATAAATGTTGTAAGTTTATCTATGTCTTAAATTGGTTGGTGCTCTAAAAGGCAACAAACTTTAGTCCCAGTTAGTTCACTTTTACATGTGAGATAAGGTTTTTGGAAATAATAACACCAGAGACACAGAATCCAGTGAAGACACAGCTCATCATTCATCCTCTTGCATCATAAGGGGCTCTGGGGATGATCCACTAGTTCTGTAGGTGTTTCAGCCTCCTTTTTGTTCAACTGGTGGTGATGATATTTATTTCAGATTTCATAAAGTTTAAACTGCCTACTAATATTATTTTAAAGTTGAGGGAGGGATTTTTTTTCTCATGAAAAGTACATTGAATTAATTGGTACCAATATCTACTGAACTATTCGATTCCTGTGTGGATTAAGGCATAGTTAGGAATGGGTGAACTAATGAGGCCTCACAAATTCATATGATTCATGAATTTTATTCATATGGATGATATTAAATACCTTAGTAATATTTGCATGTCTTATCTCATGTCTCTACTGGTGACTTTTTTTTTTTGGCTGATGAAGTTGCCTTTTCTCAATTGATGGCATGAGTAAATGAAAGGTCTTTATCATTAATTTAATGTCAGGTAGGATATTTCTCTTAAGAAGTCTGAAAATACTTATTTAAGTACTTTTTGTCTTCCAGAATCCTCACACTGGGCCTCGGATTTCTCGTGATCCCGTTTCTTCCCGCAAGTAACCTCTTCTTCCGCGTGGGCTTTGTGGTTGCAGAGCGAGTGCTCTACCTCCCCAGTGCGGGATACTGCATGCTGCTGACCTTCGGCTTTGGAGCTCTGAGCAGACACACTAAGAAAAAGGTATCAACCTGGAGCAGTGCTGTGCAGAACCAAAATGACTTCACACAGCTCACTAATGACATTCACTTTGTCTCTCTGTTGTCAAGAAACTAATCACTGCCATAGTCCTTGGCATCTTACTCATCAACACTCTGAGATGCGTGATTCGCAGTGGCGAGTGGCGGAGTGAAGACCAGCTCTTTACAAGTGCCCTATCTGTGTGTCCCCTCAATGCTAAGGTACCTTGACTGCCAGCTTTCTTTTAAAGCCTTAACAAAACCTAACTCGGAAGTGTTTGAAATCCTTCAGCTGAGTAAGAATATCTTTTTTGTTGACATTATTGGGTTTTGAACTCAGAGCCTCATGCTTGCTAGGCAGTTGCTCTACCACTTAAGCTATTCTGCCAGCCCTTTTGTGTATGTGTGTTGAGTATTTTTGAGATGGGGTCTCTTGAACGGTTTGCTCAGGCTGGCCTCAAACTGTGATCCTCCTGATCTCTGCCTGCCAAATAGCTAGAATTACAGACATGAGACATTAGCACCCAGCAAGAATAATGTTTACTATGGGACAGTATCTAGCAAAAGACCCTGACAAAATACTTCACTTTTTCTTTATTGTATTTTTAATTAATTTAATAAGATTCATTCGAATTCCACCTAGCCAAAATAATTTAAAAGAAATGAAAACCAGACAATATCAAGAAAACAGGTTACTTAAAGTCATACTCACCTTCTAGTTGTTACAGTCACCCTTTGAAGAGGGCAGTGGACATGACATCACATCTCCAGGCTGGGGTTGAGAAAGGCACACATTCTAACTGCTTACAGGAACTTCTCAAAATCAATACTCTGGCAATAGCAGGAGCAAGCCTCTTCCAAGCTATAATTTGAAGGTAGCAATTCCTATTAGTGGGCTATGAGTTAGTTAACTATGCTGTATGTGGCACAATAGTATATTGTGAATGGAGTTCCCTGCTTGTGCGTCCTTTGTCCAGATTAGGTTAACATAGATGTGTATACTTTAAAATTGGTAGTGTTTTCAGTGAAGCAGCCTGGTAGGAATTTAATTTACTTGTATTTTTGATAAACCCAACCTTTCATTCAACCAGCTATACCTTTTGAACTTTCGGTGCCCTTTTCTAAATGAAGGGGATAATATCTACTTGCTAGGCTCATTGTGAAGGCTGAGTGAGCTAAGGCACCCCAACATGGTGTCAGCACATATACTAGGTGCTCAAGAGGTGTTAGTTTCCCACCAAAGTGTTCTGGCTTCACATTAAATAACAGGAAGGGAATTATTTTTGCTGAAAGGGAAGAGGGGAGAGAGAGACGTGAGGTTAGAAGACTTGGCTCTTCATACAGACTATACCATCTTTCCTCTTAGGCCATCTGAATTGGAACTGCTTCAAATTGCTTAAATGTATCCTCCTGGGTGAGGGAATATCCTCTGAAATTCTGTCTCATTTCCATGTTCTGTATTTAAGAGAAAGCAAATATTTTGGGCAAAAATATGTAAATAAAACTATTGAATAGTTGACCTCTTACTGTGCCCCTTGAAGTAGAGAATATATAAAATACATAACAGGTATGACTCGGCTTGCCCTTTTCTTGGATTGAAACATCTTGTTTATGTTTTATAGTTAAGAGATGTAGGTAACATGGTACAATTCTTATGTATTAATAAAAGATGTGGGCAAAAGATAAAAGAATGATTACTTCAAGCTTTTTATATTTGATTTGCTGAATGATCAATTTATTTATGCTACTGAAAATAAATAGCCTGTGACTTAACTTCATAAATGTTAATAGACTTGATTTATCTTTACTTTCTGTGTAAATAGCAGGAAAATATAAATAAATAGCAGCTATAATTCCTCCTTTACCACGAAGAACTCTGGTCTCTTTATAAAGCTCTGTAATTAATCTCCATTATCTTCCTGTTAAGGTTTTTGGAGACAGAGGGTACTGCATTCTTTATTTTCCCAGATGGGAGAAACTGAGGCATAGAAAGGTTAAGTTGATACTATTTAGGTTACCTGGTAGGAGCTGTGCCCAGGTAACACTAGTAACTGAAGGGGGGCACATATATATGTCTATATGTCCAGGCTTGAAAGTCTGCCCAGTACATGACTTCATCATAGGCTCAGAGACACAGGGTTATACACATGCATGCAAACTGTGATTAGGACTGTGTATTCCTCTTTTTAACTTAAGGTATGCATACCGACCCCACCTTCAAAATAGACGCACTGGTCACAGTCCTTTTTCCAAGAACTTTTTTTGATGATTCTATTAAATACAAGCAAAATAATAGTTGTGTTTTAACTTTCCATGCCAAACTGAAGTGTCCTAAAATTTTCTTCCTCTTTTTTGAAAAAAGTTATATCAATTTCAAGGAAGAGATCTCATTTAGAAAAACACTGCTTTCTTTCAACTGCTTTATAGAGGATATATTTTTCTATACTGGTTTCCACTTTATATTCATTGAAATTAAGTAAGTAGTTGGTACCTGGCTCTAATTTAGGCCCACATTTATAAACTAAGACTCATCTTTTTTTTTTGAAAGATTGCAAAATCAGTGTGGGTAGTGCTGGTCCCTGACCTGCATTGAAGTTACACATAGTTCATTGCATATAGCAGGCACTTAATATTAGTTACTGAATTGGACCAAATGAAAGTTGAATTCACTGAGCCTGCTGTGGGTGAGATTCCAAGTACCTAATTTATTTGCAGTCATTTTTAGTTTTTAAGATTTAACCATATGTTGCACTTACTGTCCACTCAGAGAATTCTAAATTCATTTGACAATGAAAAGGATCCTATACTACTGTGAGGTATTCACTTCATGAGCTACCCAGCATACTTGTAGGTTTTTCGTGTGTTTATAAGATTTTAAGTTTTACACCCAGTGTTGGTTCAGTGCTAATATTAAAAGCATCTTTCATAATGGATGCTTTTACTTTGCATGTGCACATCATTCAGTTGCAATGGTTATTTTTAATCTGGCTTCTGTGCTGGTTCATTGCCTCAACATATGAAGCACAAAAGCTGGAAGGAAAGTTGAATAAACAAGCCTTTTCAGTCTGTCACATACCATGGAAACAAAAATCACTCATTCTCTAAGCACCATTTCAAATAACCTCATTGGCAAATTTCTGTTTTGTTTTCTCTTAAGATGTAGGCAGCTATTTTCTGTTCACAGAATTCCTTCCACCTATAGGGTGAGGCTGTTTACCAGTTCTTAATTATGGACTGCCTTCCAGGTCTAAATCAGGTTTTTTGTTTTTTGGGTTTTTTTTTTTTTTTCTAACTCATCCCATTTAAATAATTGCAGTCGGATTTTCTGGAGTGCCCCTTCTTCCTGGGCTTCCAGCCCAGCATCGTGAGCATCTTAACAGAACACTGTCCATACTGCAGAGGGCAGTTGAACTCTTTGTCTGAGCTTTTTCTGGAAAAACTAGAATTTGCCCAGGAACAAAGGAAAGCAGCAGGAGCTTGGGGGCTGAAGAGGTGAAGTCACATTGAAGTCTGAGTAAAAGCCGTATTTGTGTTCTGGGGACCACAAGGACATGTCTTGAAGGTGGCATTCTCCAGCCTTGGGTTCTTTTGTGCATGGGACGGGAGGGAAGTCACACATCCAATCTGGGATCAGGGGGAGGCGCAAAATGGAGCCATTTATAATGCACTTTTCACAACACACGCTCCAGCAATAGCATTAACTGAGCTGTCTCCAAGCTATAATTTAAGGATGAAAATACCTATGAACAGACAATACAGTGGTCCAGGAAGTTTAAATTATACTGTGTGGTGCACAGGAGTACACATTTACATCACCTGCTATTTCTGCTTGTGATTCCTTTCATTAGATTAGGTAAACACAAATGTAGGTACTTTAAAATTGGCAGTGTAAAAGGAATCTCTGTTACATATGTGTTTATAGAACATTGCTCTGCTCTGTTCCCTTCCAGAAATGCAAGTGTATTTGAGGAAGTGCTATAACTGTAGGATTAGATTGATAATGCTAGATGTCGTTACGTTTTCAGAGGTGGTTTCAAAGCAGTGTTCAGGAGAACATTCCCTGAATGTGTTTAAAGCATTGCTGTATTTCAAGATTTATTGGTTTGCTCTGGCTGCCACAGCAAAATACTACAGACAGTGTGGCTTAAACAATAGAAGTTTATTCTTTCATAATTCTGGAAGTCCCAAGTTTAAGGTGTTAACAGGGTTGCTTTCTTCCGATGCCTCTCTCCTTTTTATGTATGTGGCCATCTTTTTGTGGCCTCACATGGTCTTTGCTACGTGCGTCCCCAGTTTCTCTTTGAGTGTCCAGATTTCCTCTTTATTTTTGAGAAGAAATGTTTTGATAGACAAATGTGAGAGATACTTGCTAGAGACATTGCAGATTCCTCCTCTTATTAGGATACCATGAGACTGAATTGTGAGGTCACCTATGTGACCTTATTTTACCTTAATTACCTATTTAAAGACTCTGACTCCAACAGCTGCATCATGAGGTACTAGGGGCTCCATCTATAAACTTTGGGGGACACTGATTTATATACATAGTGTAAAATAAAAGACATGCTTTTACTTTAAGGAGAAAAGTGGATAGTGTAGATGAGGAACCTGGAAATTGCCTGGAGCACCTAATAAATGAGTATGCCATAGTAAGAAGAAACACAGGCTTGGAACCTGGTTCAGATCCAGCATCACAGTCTTTATGTGAGGCTCAGGAACGTCAAAGCAGTTTGTCAGCTTAGAAGGGAGAGCAGCTCTGTCAGCTCAGCTCAGAGGGCTGCTGTGGAGAGAGCAAAACATGCAAGGATGGTGACGATGTATGAGGTGGCTCCCAGCTGCTGGTGTTAATGTTGTCATTATCAGTCACCCTGAGTCCTTCTTACCAACATCCTTTCCTGAGATTGCCAGACGTCTATGCTGCATGGTCCCAAAAGGAGCTTCTGATCATCAATAAATACCTTTGGTGATTGTCCTTTTAGGCCTGGGCCATCTGCTTCCTGGTTGTCATCCAGGTCCCAGCTCCTTTCTTTGTAACGTATTCTGAGCTCATGTGCAATTGAGAAAGTGCCATAAATTGGTCTCCTGGCGTCCTCATTCTAAGATGGCTTGACAATTCCTACTAGGTTTGGACCTGTGAGTCCTGTTTCTCCCAGTTGTCTTTACCACTCTCTTCAATCATTACAAATTCTCTTCTGTTTTCTCTTTTTTAATGGAGGTGAAATTCTCATAATATAAAATAAAACATTTCAGTTCCTCAAAAAATTAAAACGAATTGTCATATGATCCAACAATTAACTTTTGGGTATATACCCAAAAGAATTAAAAGGAGGGAGTCGAGTATTTGCATACATGTGTTCATAGTAGCACTTTTCACAGTGCCAAAACATGGAAGCCACTCAAGTGTCCATCTGTCGACAGATAAATTGATAAAGTATAGTGTATACATGCAATGGAATATTACTCAGCCTTTAAAAGGAAGGACTCATACAGCAACATGGATGAAACTCAAAGTCTTTACTCTCTGAAATAAGTTAAACACAAATGGACAAATTTTATGTGATTTCATATGAAGTCCCTAGAATAGTTAGACAAGATAGAGTGGTGATTGCTCAGGCACAAGGTTTTAAAATTAACCTAATTTTAAATTAACCAAAATCTAATGGGATTTAGAGCATTCGTAGCATGGTGAAACCACTGTCCCCCTATTTGGTTCTAGAACATTTCCATCCCCCTTGTGCTCTTTCTCTCACAATGTCCCCTATCAATTTCTTCCACTTAGCTTGCTGTAAGATGATGAGGTTTTTCTGGGAGTTGCTTCTCCTCCAGCTGACTCTCTGGGTGAACATGCCGGCCTGAGACTTCTACCACCCGCTCCTACCTTCCTGCTACCACATTGGTGTCTCTGGCTTGCTCCTCTCCTGAAGCAGCCCCTCTGGCCTCTTCAGTCAACCAATTTTTGTGCCTTTTTCAGTGTTCCTCAAATTTCTCGCCGCCTCGCTACCACCCTAGTTCAGTCTGCTGTCGTCTGTCCCCAGGACCATGACCACAGCCTGTGCCTGGACCCCTGTTATCTGCTTCTTCCCTACCCAAGAGCTTTCTGCAATGTCACTTACTTCAAATCTGATTACAATCCCTTGCCACCTTCCTATCCCTAGCTTACTGTCATGGGTTGCATTACACCCCCCAAAAAAGACAGGTTCAATTCCTAACATCTTTAAATGTGACCTTATTTGGGAAGGAAGTTGTTGAAGATGTAATTAAGATGCAAATTAAGATGACATTGCTATGGTTTGAATGTGTGCCCAAAAGTTCATTTGTTAGAAACTTGATCTCCAAATTCATATGCTTAATGGTATTTGGAGATAAAACGTTTCAAGATTAATAGGGTTAAATAAAGTCATGCAAGTGTGGTATTAGTGGCTTCATAGGAAGAGAAACCAGAGCTGTCATGGCTGCCCTAGCTTGCCCTCTTCCATTATGCAGCAAGAAGGCCCTCATCAGATGTGGTGCTTGGACCTTAGACTTTCCAACTCCTGAACTGTGACCTAAAACATTTCTGTTTGTTGTAAATTACCCAGTCTGTGGCATTATACTAGACCATCAGAAAACAGTGGTCATGCTGGGATAGAGTGGGCCCTTTTGTGTCCTGATAAGAGGATAAGAGACAGGGAGACAAAGAGGGGAGAAGGCTGTCTGAGGATAGTAGCAGAGATGTAGCTGCAAGCTGAGCATTGCTGGCAAACACCAGGAGACAGAAGAGAGGCTGGAACAGTTTCTCCCTCATTGCCTCCAGGAGGAATCTGCCCTGCTTCCACCTTAAGTTTGGCCTCTAGAATTCTGAGGAATAACAACATTGGGTAAAACCTCAGGTGGCAGTGCTTGGCTATGATATCCCAAGGACACTACACATGCAGACTCTGCGCTGGTCCTCCATGCTTTCAGGACAGCTTCCCCTTCATGGCTGCTGTGTACCAGCTAGCTAGCTAGTCTGCACTCATGTAACACTGAACCTCCTGCCCACATAGAGGCTTCCTCCTAGCCCTTAACCTGATCATGCTGCTTCCTGTGCCTGGGGCACCCTCCACCAAAAACTACTGCTCAAGAGCACTTTCAGATCTCAGCCAGAAAGTTCCTCCCTTGGGATGCTTTCCCAGATTTGCTAGGCTTTTGTTCCCTGCCATGTCTCCAGCTGCTGGCACAGTTCCATGGCCATTCACCATCCATCCATCATTACCTAAAGGATGAGGGAAGGTAGATCTTACTAGGTGTTGTCTTAGTTCAGGCTGCTGTAACAGAACATCATGGGCTAGAGGTTTAACCAGCAAATATTCACCTCTCAGAGTTCCAGAGGCTGGGGGAGAGGGGGAGTCCAAGATGAGGGCACCAGAGGTGTGGTGCCTGATGAGGACCCTGTTCTGAATTGAGGGATAGCCATCTTCTTACTGGGTCTTCACATAGCAGAAAGAGGGTGAGAGGGCTCTCTGGAGCCTCTTACAAGGGCACTGACCTCACTATTGAGCCCCCACCCCCACGATCTAATCACCACACAAAGACCCTACCTCCTAATCCCATTACGTTAGGAGTTAAGATTTCAACATACAAATTTCGGAGGGATATATTCGTCCCACAAGAGGTGTAAAGCAAAATGCTTATAATGCCACCAAAGAAAGAAGTTACACAAGTATTTGGACACCATAGGCAGACAGAACCATTGTTTATTGTCCTTACATCCACACGTGCTTCACTAATACCTCAACTCTAATGGGGTGTGTGGGAGAGAAGGATTTAAGGCTTAGTAAAAACAGCCTGGCTTCTTGATTTTTCAGTTTCCTCTGCTGAGTTATTTCATTAATTTTCCTTCCATTGTACTTTAGTGACATGTCTGCTTGTCACTTCCCTTTCATCTAGATTTTTCTTCCGTGGTGGGGCATTAAAACACAAACAACTCCCACACCCCTGTAGAGTTTTAGCAAAATTCCTGGTGGGTGATTTTTTTTTTAATCCCTTTTCTTTTGTCTTCACTTAGAAGGTGAGATAGTTGTCCAGAGGCTGAACAAAGAAGTCTGTGTGCTGATGGCCAAATTGTCATCTGTATTTTCAGGTTCACTACAACATTGGCAAAAACCTGGCTGATAAAGGCAACCAAACAGCAGCCATCAGATATTATCGGGAGGCAGTAAGGTACTGCAGTCATGTCCTATATACACATACTGTTTCCACTTTCTGGGATCCCACACCTATCCCCTTAAAAACCCCAACCTTGAGATATCTTTGCTAGTTCCTTAGAGTTCAGTGAAAACAACAGTAACAGCTTGATTTCTCTCTAAACTTCCAGATTAAACCCCAAGTATGTTCATGCCATGAATAATCTTGGAAATATCTTAAAAGAAAGGAATGAGCTACAGGAAGCTGAAGAGCTGCTGTCTTTGGCTGTGCAAATACAGTAAGCATTGTTTTTATAATTATGCCAGGGACAAAGAAATGAGTTCCTGTGTTTAGTTTCTTCTAAGTCATTCTTTCTCTTGTTTTTCTTTTTTAAAAATACTCTTCCAGGCCAGACTTTGCTGCTGCATGGATGAATTTGGGCATAGTGCAGAATAGCCTGAAACGGTTCGAGGCAGCAGAGCAAAGTTACTGGACAGCAATTAAACATAGGAGGAAGTACCCAGATTGTTACTACAACCTCGGGCGGCTGGTAAGGTCAAGGAAAGACTGGGTTTCCCCTTAATTACAGTAAAATGACACTCATAAAAGCTATGCAGCACTCTGCATTTTATAAAGTTCTTTCACATATGTTTATCTCATTTGAAGGTAGTTATTTGGTTTCCTTATGTAAATGTCAAAGCTCTAATTAGTGAGCAATCCAAATTGAAGTAGTCAGGTATAAGAGCTCTCTAAGGTAATAGGTTAGACTAAGGAATAAATTCAAATGTTTTAAATCCCTTCTGCCTTAGAAAACAGTAATCCAAGGACTAACTTCCTGATAAATAACAGTTTCTCTGTTTTTAAAACACAAATTGAAAAGAAACTGAGATTTCAAAACAGACCTGTTGTGTGATTTCTGAGCCTCCTTGTTCTCCCTCCTCAAGGAAACAGTCTCTTCATCTCTAGAGGGCATCCTCCCCAGAAAGGACAACTTCGGAAGTCAGACCATTTATTTAAAAGGGCTTCAACATTACATGATAAAAATAGGAAATAATGTGTTCTGTAACAGCTTTACATTTTTGGTTGTTGGCAGAATATTTATGAAGATCTGATTGCTCTTGATTTTCTTGACAAAATGAGATATACAAATAGTAAAATTCTTTAAAAAGGATGATTGTTTTTTCCCTCAACCAACTCTTAAATTTGGTCTCAAGAAAACAAATATGTATTCCTGTTATATTTAGATTTATTAGGGAAAGTTGTTAAGGGAAAAATTTTTGATTCACGTGAGCCAAACTGGAATATATGCATAGTGATAGGGCTTTTAAAAGAAGTTCATAAGACGAGTACCATGGCTTACACCTGTGATCCTAGCTACTTGGGAGACTGAGATCAGGAGGATTATGATTCAAGGTTAGCCCAGACAAATAACTCTTGAGACTCCCTATCTCCAAAATAACCAGAGCAAAAATGCACTGGAGGTGTGGCTCGAATGATAGAGTGCCTGCTTTGTGAGTGCAAAGTTCTGAGTTCAAACTCCAGTCCCACCAGAAAAAAAAAGTTTGCATATAGTTTTCCTGATTTTACCAAGTGTAGCCTCACAAGTAGGATAGCATCCCAGTGTTCTAAAAAAATGTTTGTTTATCCTCATTTGAAATGCCCAAAGCTTCTTTCTTTTATGGAGTCCTTGTGTTATCAAAACCAGTGCTTCCGAAAATTGATTGTATATTCATATATCCCTACCCTGTCTCAGTTTTGGGGAATCAAAAGCTCCACAGATGATTTACATTTAAAAATAATAACAAAATTGTAATAATACCTTATCACTAGCCTTGCATCAGAGAAGCATTCTTGTCTGGACTTTGACCTGAAGATCATGTCAGAGTAGAAGGGCCTGTTTGGGGCCAGCAAACCGTTAAGTGTTGGCTGCTTTAAATTTATGGGAAATCCAGTCTTCCTTTCTTACCATTATATGAATGTCTATGGTCTTAACGTCTTTGATTCTGGACTGGATAGCCATGACTTTGCGTATTGATGGAAATAAGATTTTATGAATGAAGGAAACAAGATGGCAGCACATATGCTAAAGAATGGTAAAGACTGACCTTTCCTTTTCTGAATAAGTCACTTAAGTGGGCAGATAATGCTTGTGTTATAGATTTTAAAGTGAAGTGGCTTGTGTGTTTTTATTTTAAACATATAAAACATAATTTAGTTTTGAGGTACTATAAGAAGAGACCATTGCTATGTGATTACTCCAGTGTGGAAAAGAGTACCTACTTTCTCTTGGCCACCAACAGAAGAGTTGTCAGGGGGGATGAGTGGCAAGTCCTTGATTGAGCCAAAGAAAGAATTCAGGGGCAGACCTGCAGAGGAATCTTTAACAGAGCAGATTTATTTAAGCAAAAACTAGATCAGCAGAAGTGATTATAAAGTGATAGTGTACCCCCAAAGGAAACTGAGGGTGGGGAGCTTGACCAAGCAATTAATGCCTTCAGCCCCAGGCCTTAGGTACTTTTATGGATAGGGTTTGATGATTATGGTAAGAATATGTATATAATTGTATTGTTTTCTAAGAATGGTAGGGTATTTCCAAAAACCAGGAAATAGGAAGTGGTTTACCTAACAAGGTGTCTTCTGAGCCAAATGACAATTTGAGAGGAGGTGTGTGCATAAAACCACAGCTATAATTAAATGTAAGTGAGGCTTCTGGCTAACCCCTAGAGTTGGTTAAGTCCCTGTTGGGGTCGTTGCTGGGGACCGTTGGTCACTATACCAAGAAGTAGCCTCAACCATAGTCAACCATTACTCTAGGACAATGTGGATCAGGATATTGACAGAATGTACCTGGGTACAGTGCTGCACCTGGTCCCTGGCTCTTTTGTGTTATTACTCCTTTTCTACCTGTCTATGCCCTATCAGGGTTCAGTAATGGGACTGACCCTAGGGACTAGCAAGAGGCTTGAACAAGAAGATGAACAGCACAGTATTCCCGTTGTCCCACCTCAGCTGTCCCTGGGCCTTGAGTGCATTTCTGTTTTCTTTTACATTTCAAGACTCTGCACTTTATGATCTAGTTATATGCCTCAATGCTGAAATTACTTTCTCTGTGAATGCAGAAGATTGGAGAAACATAAAGTTATTCTAAGGATAAGCAGTAAAATTTCATAATGATGTCAGGAGAGACCAGAAAACTCAGTTATGTACAAAGCAGCACCAGTCCTCAAAAAGTTAAGGACATGAGAACTGCCTGGGTGCAGAAGAGGAGCAGATGGAATTTTGGGATATATGCATGGGGGTGGGTACTGTTTCCGTTTACTGTGTCTTTTAAATTAGTGCTTGAGCAACATATTAGAGTTGACATCCCTGTGGGTTCTTCTTTCGCTCCTTACTTTTATTTTTCTGCTGAAGGTAACTCCTTTCTGGTTATTGCTTACAAAGTGAATGTGTCTGGCTACAGCCTCCTGCTTTTAAAGCTCTACTTCACAGCCTTGAGCTCTTCTTCCCTAGTAGCTACTGTCACTGCAATTCCTTGGGTTTCAGAAAAGAGAGATTTTATGCTAAATGAGCCTTCTGTTTTAGGAGTTACAGCCAAAGTAGAGAACACAAAATGTAAACTTCCCGCTCTTATCTCAGGCCCTAGTCCTGGGATTCGTTACACTTTCGCTGGGAAGATCATCTGCAGCTTTGAACTGATTGAGACCTTTGGTGTTGTTTACTAGTTATGCTGCCCTGAAATGGTGTCCCCTGGTCCCTCCGCTCACTGTGCCTGCTCAGTTAATGCTTTTGCCCTCCACTGAGGTTTAATTATCCTGCTTTTGCCTGCTTGACAGCTTAAAAGCATTAATAGTTTAATCTTTAACAGCTCAACCAACCCATTTATATATTGGTGAATAAGAGGAAGTTAATAACTTCAAGGTGTTTTTGTTAAAAGTCATGTTTTTTTAACAGGAGACAGCATTTTGTTTTGATTTCTGGATCCTGATAAGAAGGGAATATAATGCATTTCTCTTGTGGAATAGGAAATTAGGAAAAGCTGAATTATTTGGGACATATTGCTCATCCTTGAGAGTTTTGTAATGGTGGCCTGCAGTATTGCTGGGGACAATTCACTGTACCATTGAGAATAGAAAGTGTGACAAGTATTCTAAGTACAGAAGGTTTAACAGGAAATTGATCAGTCATTGGAAAGAGTGAAAATGCAAAGGTAATATTAACACAGAGATTAATAGCTAAAGGGAACCCTATAGGTTTGGGTAACAAAGGGGAGACAGGGATACTACCAGAATGGAAGAACTTAGCAGAAGCTGCCACCTTGTAAGAGCTGAGGTCATGGAGGAAGGACTGCTGTTTCCAGCTAGGGGACAGAGGACAGACATGTCCACTTCAGAGACAGCCAGGGTAAGGAAGGAAGAATTGGGGGAAAGTGCTGCTCCTCTCCCCCACATCTGACCCATCTACTTTCTGCTAGGTAGTTCTTATTAAATCACCATGTGTCTGTTTCCCTTAATGTGTTTGTTCACTTTGTGTATAAGAAGAGTAGAGTAGTCTTACCTGATTCAATCTGGTATTATCTCTAATAAATAGTAAACAATTAAATTAAGAATAGTAATAAGTAGAACACTATATGAAGAATTTGGTTGGCTTGTATAAATGATGTTGCACTGGTTGTCCTGGTTGTGTGATAGAGTCACCATGGATTTGTCCAGGTGACTCAAATGCTTTTGACTTGGTGGAGAAAAGTGACTTGAAAAAATTACTGGGACATCTAGTAAAGAGAGACAATTCACTGTTAAGCATCCCAAATTGTTTTAATTTTTTTAATGTTCTGTATCATTTCCTAATCATTTTTTAAGACTAAAATATTGTAACCGATTTTTTAGTCTTCTGGAGAATTCTGACATCTTCAGCAAGTGGATACTCGTGAGTTTCCATAATTCATGAAACCTTTTTCTTACATAGTCTATTTGCTGTGTGGTCACAGGACAAGTCAAAACGTTGTTTTCTAGTGACAAGATAAACTTGACAGCAAGGAAGAAATAGCCTTAAACTTTGATAAATTGTTATCATTTGAACTTTTTGCAGAGTTAAAGGGATCAAGTATACTCAGATGAAATGTGCACTTGAACTGAGTTCAAGAAAGCCAGGGAGTAACCTGCTAGAGAATCCATCTTTTTCTCCCTCTGTGGCTTTTACTAGCATGCAAATAGAGAGACAGCCATTTTGTATTGTTATCTATGTTAAATGAAAGTTCTTCTCAAAAGAAAACAACAGACATTTCTCCCTTTCCTCATGAGGTAGATGGCTCCAAGTTGCCAAGGGATTTTACATGGCCATGGGAGTCTTCCAAGGAGTTTACAAAGTATGTCTGACATTCTCCTGTTTTTATATTAAGTTTAGGTGTAGGCAGGAAGGGGCTCCTAGACCATCCTCACAATGTGAATTAGATAGTTTTCAATCACATAAAATATTTCTTTACTATTCTAAATAGTGTTTATCAAAGGTTGATAAGTGGGGTCTTTCTGGAAAAAGAATAGTGAGCAGTCTTTCAACATTTCAGAAGTTTGAAATAGGATTTAATAACTAACTAGAGTCACCCGTTCTATCATTAAGACATCTTGCACTTGAGACCTAGACCACTTGGTTCTTTCTAATCCTTGATCTTCCTTTTCTAGATGTGTGACTTTGGGCAACTTATTCATTTCCCTGTGCCTCAGTTGCTCCATCTGTAAGAGGGGATAATAATACCTACTTGGGATTCTTTTGAAAAGAAAATGGGTTTATATGAAAGAATTAAAAACTCCATTTTAAAAAGGTTAGGTTGGATTGACTGGTTGTTTGCTTGATTTTTGTGGGTTTTTGGTAATATCTTAGGGGAAAAAAGCAGAAAAATTGGAATATGAATTTTGGTCTTTACTTTTTAGTATGCAGATCTGAATCGTCACATGGACGCATTGAATGCGTGGAGGAATGCGACCATGCTGAAGCCAGAGCACAGCCTGGCTTGGAACAATATGATCATCCTCCTGGACAACACAGGTGCAGCAGGAGAGCTGATAGATCAGAGGAGATTGATTCACAGGACAGTACTCTTGATAATTAGGAAGGCTGGATTATTGTGCTTCCCCCACCCCATATATATATATGTATATGGGGTTAAATACTTTGTATTACAAAAATGCCTATTCTAGAAAATGGAGTTTCCTTTGATATACTAGAATATAGATGGTGAGGAAAATGATACTGCACTTAGAATTGGTGTTGAGTTATGTGTGAAGGTATGTAGCTCATTCATTCTCAAGCTTGTCATCTAGCCATGCCTACATCCAACATGCTGGAGGCAAGAAGGGCTTCTGGGTTGTTTGTGAGATGGAAGGCAGAGGTCCATGCTCCCAAGTTCATAGACTGTACATCAGGAAATGCCCTCACATCTACACTAAGAGCCGTGGGTTTTTGTGGGGTTTTTTGTGGGGGTGGGGGGGAGAGGTGTTGTTTGTTTTCATGCAGTACTGGGGTTTGAACTCAGGGCTTTTTGCACTTGCTAAGCAGGCGCTCTATCACTTGAGCCATGCCATCAACCTTCTGTTTGTGTTTGTTATTTTTGTTGAGCCACAGGTTCTTTTTTGAGACATAATGACTTGATGGTCTGGTTTCTTGGCCCTCAGCAAACCAGAGTTTTTCTGCTGCCTTTATTTTGTTTTGTTTTTGTGGTGCTGGGGATCAATCCCAGGGCCTCCCACATGCTAGGTAGGTGCTCTACCTCTGAGCTACACCCTAAGCCCTTTGCTACCCTCATTTTTCAAATCCACCCATCCTTTAAGAAATCACGGTGTTGATTTGGCAGAATTTAAAGACAGTCAGCTATCTAAACAGTGTGGGAAGAGCCACTCATTTCTAAGGAAAATACATATGTGCACTGTCATGTGAGAAATACTCAGACACTCAAGTGCTACTGCAGTGCTCTTACTTTGCAGACTTATTTTCTCCAGTTTGGGTATATCTGGTGTGTGTGTGGGGGCGGGGGCAGATTAAAGCTAGCTTTTATGTGGGTTTACAGAATTTAATCCAAAGCTGTTTGAATATTATGTCAGAATTGTGCTTGGTTCAAGTTTGTATGTGTATTTCATAGGTTCTACATGGATTTTCTTAAGTAGTTTATTCATAATTATTATATGTAATGCATGTAAACCCTGTTAATCATAGACAAAAACACAAGAATATTAACATGTTTTGTTTTTATTTTTCATTTTTTTTTCTCCCTCTCAGGTAATTTGGCCCAAGCTGAAGCAGTTGGAAGAGAGGCACTGGAATTAATACCTAATGATCACTCTCTTATGTTCTCATTGGCAAACGTGCTAGGGAAATCCCAGAAATACAAGGTATGTAAACCACAGGCTGTGATTTCTTGCAATTATTGCCAGCAGCTGACAGAAACCATCAGTGTTACTTCTGCCCAGTTAAATTCAGAATTAGGCCAGAATGATGGCAGTAGTACACCAGGGTAGCTTGGTCAGTTTTTTTCCCAGAGATGTTACCCAAAAGATGGATGTGCAAGGTCAAATCCAGTGGCCTTTCTCATCAGAACTGAGCCTTATGTTCACATGCAGGGAGGGAAAAGGAGCCCAGGGCAAGGGGCAGTGACCAGAAAGAGCTGCTATCTCTGGCTGCACAGTTGGTGCGAGGACCCCTCAGCCCACCCTCCCGCAAAGGGTCTAACTGTGCCGTTTTGATGGGACTGGAGCTCAGGTTTATCTGTGGGTGCTGTCTTCTGCATACAAAGAATAATCATCAGTGGAGGAAACATGGCTGGTTCTTGCTGCTTCCAAGGTTTTTCCTCCTCTGAGTTATAGGTCATCAGTAAGAAGTAGAGGTTTCTGACCAATAAAAACCACAATATAAGCCAGGTGCTGATGGCTTATGTCTGTAATCCTAGCTACTTGGGAGGCTGTGATTGGGAGGATATCCATTCAAGGCCAGTCAGGGCGAATACCTCTTTAGACCTCACCTCCAAAATAACCAGAGCAAAATGGACTGGAGGTGTGGCTTAAGCGGTAGGGTGCCTGCTTTGCAAGTATGAAGCCCTTGAGTTCAAACCCTAGTTACACACATGAAAAAAAAATACCATATAAGTTATGAAATCTGCTTTACTTGGGCCCAGGACTGGTGAGGAGTTGGTGGGGCATAGCTCCCTGTGTACTGCAGGGACTTGAGGGTCCCAATACCAGTGTCCTCACACTCTATCAGAATCACTTAGGAGCTGTTTAAAACAGATGCCTCCCAAGGAGGGATGGCCCCAGGATTAGGATCAGGTCTGGAAATGTACATTTCTACCTAGCATACTGGATGCCTCACACAGATAGTAAACAGGGAATGTTATTTTGGAAGCATTGCCTAGGCCTGGGAAGGCAGAAATATTTTATCTTAGAATCAGGGGCTAATAATATGTTAACTACTAATTAAAATAGCAGTATTTTGTTTTAATTATTACTTAGAGTAGTAATTAATATTTTAATATAAGTTAATGCAATAATATAATAATTTATTTCTGTTCATAAAAGCTATATGTTATTTTGATCACTCAGGCTACAGATATGACCCAAGGCCTAAATATAGTGTTAATGTTTGTTGTTTCTTTCTCCTTCTCTATTCATTAAAAGTCATAATTTTCTGTAAGAGTGAGATATTTCATCAGTTTCTCTCATTTTTGAATGTCAGAGAATTTAATAGCTTTACTATACATTATAAACATTTTCTCACTTTTGCTCCAAAAACAACTTTTGGAGGGGTTTAAGTTTCATTTCATATGGATCTACCTGAGTGGAGTGGGAGAAGTTTTCAGGTTTCCTCCTGATGACCTTCCCACCTTTGTCAGTGGAGAAGAGGTCACAGGTCTCAGTTCTCCAGTGGCCCAGCTGCAGCGTGCCTTCTTCAAATCCAGCTTATGTGAACGATCATTTTCCTATCACCCCACATTCTGTAAACTGGAATTTCTATTAAGATGACAGAGCCCAGTGTCCATTTGGCTTCCAGGTCACATTGACCTTTTTTCCTGCTGATAAAGTAGAAAAGACTCCATAAAGTAGGAGAATTCAGTTTCTGATTTCTTCATACATTTTTCATCCTACTTGTCAGAAGGAAACAATGAAATCTGAGATAAGGAGCCTACTGTGAGCTCTTGGGCAGGGACCAAGAGACAAGCATGATGTGACTCCTCCAGCTATGGTATCAGCCACTGAGCCAACAGTAAGTGTTTTTTTTAAGTTAAGGATTGGGAAGTTTAAACAAGTGTGGAGGTTTTTCTCTCCTATTACAAAAGTGATACCTGTCGCTATTGGACCACTGCTTGCCCTGTACTACTTGTTGCAGGTGTTTCCTGGGCAGGTGCTGTGGAGAGGGGATATGTGGTGACTTTTAGTGTGAGAGTAGGCACACCCTTGAGCTTGGGGATTGGTCCAGCAGGACAGAAACAGGGGTCTGCTCTCTGGGCAACTCACTTTCCCCTAAGTACTAGCTATGGGGGATTTTTTTGTTGTTATTGTTGGGTCTTTGAGCCAGGGTCTCATTTATGCAACCAGACTTGGCTTTAAAACTTCAGATCCTCCTGCTTCTACCTCCCTAGTGCTGAGATTACAGGCATGTGTCCCTTACCTGTCATTGCTATTTCATATTTTCATTTACTTGCTCAGAGTCCTTAGGGAGCCTGAAGGCTACTTGAGGTCAAGACAGGGTTTTCACTCCTATTTTTAGGTCTCCATTGCTGTCCAGTGTGCTGATGGTCAGCCATTAAGCATTCAGTTAAGTTGTGACAGGACCGAACACTTCTCTCATTAGACTCTGAACCTTCAGGCCTTCCCAGCCTGTTTTGAGACTGATGTGCAGAGTGAGCATTCTTGTGTGGTGAGTGCTTTTAGGCCACTTCTCCAAGAGCACTTTGTACCTAAAACAGTCACTTAATAACTCCTGGCCTCAATTTGTGTAAAATGGAGATAGAGATCTGCCCACCTCTTGGTGGGGTGATGTGAAAAAATGCACAAAGGAATGATTTTAACCAATAGATGGTATATATTTACTATAACATATATATTATATTACACACAAAATAATATACACACGCTATAATAATTTTAGTTTAATGATCATTAAATGAATCTCTACATATCATTTAAACTTATCAGAATTTGTTACTTCTGCCTTTCAGTTCCAGTTTGGCACTAACGTGGTTGAGAAAACCACAAAGTCGTGTTTGCTAGTACTTAGCAGGCCACTTCTCTTGTCATCCTCATTTCACTGGCCCTATAGTTTAAGATCAGGTTATATTCAGTTTCCTAAGCTCTGGGCATTTATGTCACACCTTTACAAATTTCCAGATTTTTTCCCATATCTAGGTTCGCTCTGACTTATTATTTACTTGCTTTTTTTTTTTTGGAAACAAGGCCTCACTGTGTTGCCCAAGCTGGCCTTAAACTTGTAATCCTCCTGCCTAGCCTCCTGAATAGCCAGGACTATAGGTGTACACCACTGTGTCTGGCTGATATTTTTCTTTCCTAAGAAAATTTTTTTAGCTCTATCACTTGAGCCATCAGCTTTTTTGTGTGTGTGTGTTGGGTATTTTCGAGATACTGTCTCACAAATTATTTTCCCAGGCTGGCTTTGAACCACAATCCTCCTGAGTTTTTGCCTCTCAGGTAGCTAGGATTGCAGTCATGAGCCACAAGCACCCAGCTGATATTTTTCTTTAAATAGATTTTTAATGTGGATAAATGTGTTTATCATTACTATAAATATAAGGTAACAAAAATGAAATCATTTTACTCAATTCCAGCTACATACTATTACTGGCCAGAGCTCCAAGCCTGAGGGTCGCCCTCTCTGTTTTAAAAGGGGACTGGCAGGTGTTAGAGGGCGTGACCCAAAAGCCACCATAAAGTGGAGACTTCCACCCCAAGTGAATCAGAAGGAAGGGAGGAGAATTAGCCTTGCTGTAATTCAAGGCTTCCACATCACACCTCCTCCCTTGTCTTCCCTGATTCAAGCAGGATACAATGTAGCCCCTTGGAACAGACTGTCAGAGGACTGCACAGTGAGGGTTAAGGGCCTGGCACTGCAGTGATGCTTCCATGCTTCGCATAAACACACACGCCAGTCATCTGCTGTGGATGAAATGACCTGCCAAGTCTTTTCCACCCAGATGTAAAGTCCCACACTTGTTACTACTTCGAGACCCAATCTGCATGCCCACAGGGGTGTGGAGTAGGAGAAGCCTATGAGGACATAAGCGCAGTTGTACTCTGTACTCTGCAGGCTGAGTTCGGCACAGCCCCAGCTGCAGAATAGGGCAAGAGTAAACTACAGAGCAGCTGCTTTTCCTAAGATGTTTATGTGAAATAATCTGTAGGCTGAGATCTGGCACAGCCCCAGCCACAGAAGAGAGCTAGAAGGTGAGATGTAGCTCAGCTGCTTTTCCTAAATTGTTTAACACAGGTTTCTCCTGTTACAATGTCACACTCCTCCCCAAGAACTGTTTTTCCACCTCCTTGTTTACCACTGGGTATAAAAGACTCACTGAAGGAGGACACAAGGCTTTTGGATGGGGAGGTTTTTTTGATGGGGGGGGTGTTGGGCTGAAGGGAGAGTGCTGGAGACACATTGCTAAAGGGGGAAAATGAATTGCTGAAGGAAAATTGCAAAAGAGAGGTTGATAGAATTGGTTGGCAGCTTGCAAGGAGAACATGAGACAGTGCAGGTCTGCACCAAGAACTTTATACATAGACTTTAGAAAAGCTAGGCTAAAGAAAAGCTAAGAGAAAACATGGGACAGAGCGAGTCTAAGGAAAGAGACTTTAAAGAATAGAAAGAACGACTTTAGAAGCAAGGTTTTAAAGAATTGTAAAGGAATAGGCCTTAAAGAATAGAGAAGAGAATAATAGAGAAAAGAAGCAGAATAAAGAGAAGTGAAAAGAAGCAATGAGGTTGTTGTGCATCTCCATCCAAGCACCCAACACACCTGTCTTTCTGTCCTTTGTCCTTTCTGCATCTCCTGTCACCCCCAGTTAGGTTCAGTAGTAACAGGAGCGAGAGAAAGCTCGCTCCACAAGCCTTTCTCAGTCCTAAACCTTTGCTAGATATGTTATGTCTAATATGCTATAGAAAATAATGTATTATTTTTCCTTTCAGTTGATGAAAATATTGCTGATTTTAAATATGACTTTGTTTATTGGTGTTAAGTCAGCTCATTGGCTGGGTCCTGAAGCAGCCAGATCCCTTCATTGCTTTCCTGAACAGGGCTCGAAAAAGCCTGGCACAACAAAGGAGCCTATCATGGGGTTTAAATACTGGCAGACTTTGTGTTCAAAAGAGGATGCCCTCCCCTCCTTCAGGC